CGTGGTGAGCGCACATTCGTTCTTGAAGCCCTCGGTGACGCAGTATTGAGCAGCTCCGTCTCTTTCCATCTTTTGACGATCCTTCTTCTGCAGCCAGCTCTCGGTAGGGACGTAGCCGTCGTCGTATTCCTTTGCGGCCTGGACGTATTGAGCGACGCCAGAGATGGCAGGAGTGCGTCGGTCCTCGGGAGCGTGGTCGCATGGCGGCAGGTATCGCAGAGCAGGTCGTGGGGCGAACAGCTGCAGGAGCTGCGGAGGTAGTTTGTCCGTCATCTGTGTGCGATGATGTGGTGATGGATAGCGGTGCGGTAGACAGGGAGTCTCTTGGTTGCTGGAGCTGAGAGTCGAGACACGACGGCCCGCGGCTTCTTCCACACGGCGCGCCAAGACGCCTGTCCAGACATTCTCGATGGAACATGGTCAAATGGTCGATCGATCAATCTGTCGAATCACTGCTGTTAACATGCCCCTACAGGCTCTGCGTACTGTCTCCAAGGCTCAGGTATGCCGCTGTCTTACTACCCGCGCTTTACATTCGACCCTTGACTGATTCGTGCCTCNNCAGAATGGCGTCGGCGCCTTCATCCTGCAATGCAAACGCCTCGACTTCCACTACTGCGATTGGGCTGGTAGCTCCAAGGGCATGAAGTACGCGCTACTCGGATCTTCTCATCTCTTCTACTTCTAACACAATGCGCCANGCTCGTTCCTCAAGTACGACCTTCCAGCCTTTGCCCGCGCAAACCCCCAAGTCGAAATCACCGTCTCGCCTCGTCCACGCAAACACCCCGTCATCAAGGGCACATACATCAACGGCCGTGAAAAGGCCATCTGCGTGCGCAGTCTGGAGAAAGAGCAGATCATGAAGAAGGCCGAACTCTTGCGCGACGCCAGCGGCGACAAGTTGAAAAAGGTCACAAAGCCCGTCAAGAGTATGAACGAGAGTGTAAGAGGTATCTGGGATCCTTTCCACGGCTCAAAGTGGTCTGTCTGATCTTTGTACCACTCTTCCACGACTATCTTGTACAGCATTTCCAATGGCGTTTCGGGGGATACCAAGGGGTTTGGAAAAAAACGGCCTTTCTTCAAGTGTACACTATACTTTTCCTCTATTAGCATACTCTTCGTGTGCAGCTTTACCATACTCTCCGGGCGTAAAATACCTACATTCAACATCAGCTTACCTTGCGCGCACTTCAAAGAAGTCATAATGGCACAAGCCTAATTGTGTATCTTGACTCTTGCCATCACATTGTTTCCTCAAGCCGATGCTAACTCTCGTGTTTCTTCTTAGCACTACGACCCTCGCGTGTGGTCACAAAGGGCGAGAAGACCATGACCCAGTGTTGTCGCTGTTGCCCACAAGGACTTCAACACTGCCAACCAGCTTTAAATCATTGTATCAAAATACACAATGTATTCAGCAACAAGTCAACAGCCACTGAGATGCATCATCTCGAAAGCTCTCCATGGAAATTTTGCTATCCGCAACAACAATCGTGCATTTCTATAGCCCAAAAACAGTGATGTGATGCTTCGAGAGAGGTACCGACTGTCAGTCAGTGTATCAAGTCACTCGTGGAATGCTGTGAATATCATGCGTGGTTCGTCAAATGTTTTTATTCAACAGTCATCTCTCATAGGCAGCCACGCGTTTAGCGCATGACACCCTTCTATATACAAGAATTTTACGAGGACTGGGCGTTGATAATGTCGACAAAGGCGGGCTTCAAGCTGGCACCGCCAACAAGGAAACCATCAATGTCCTTCTCCTTGGCGAGCTCGTTGCAGTTCTTCTCGCTGACACTGCCACCGTAGATGATTCTGGTGTTGTCCGAGGCGGTCTGGCTGACCTCCTTGGTGAGGTACTCGCGGATGGCGGCGTGCACCTCCTGAGCCTGCTCAGTGGTGGCGACCTTGCCAGTGCCAATGGCCCAGACGGGCTCGTAGGCAATTACGACCTTGCTCCAGTCCTGGACCTGCTTGGCGACGGCGCGGAGCTGGTTGGTGACGACCTCGATGGTCTTGTTGGCCTCTCTCTGCTCGAGGGTCTCGCCAATGCAGAGAATGACACCGAGGCCGTTGTCGAGGGCGGTCTTGGTCTTGGAGGCGACGAAGTCGTCGGTCTCCTTGAGGATGACACGGCGCTCAGAGTGACCGGTCAGGGTCCAGGTGATGTTGGACTCCTTGAGCTGGGTGGCAGAGATCTCACCGGTGAAGGCACCGTTGGGCTTGTCGAAGACGTTCTGGGCAGCGACCTCAAGGCCGGGGCGGAGGTGCTCGCGGGTGAGGAGCAGGTAAAGGGCAGGAGGGGCAATGACAACCTCTNNGCAAGCTGTTAGCATTGGGCATGTCTGCGGGTTGTGCAATGTTTACATACCGACGTTGGGGTCGACCTTGGCCTGGTTCAGGTGGTTCACGATGCCCTTGATCGTGTCGACCGAACCGTTCATCTTGAAGTTGCCTCCGACAAAGAATTGACGACCCATGTTTGCGGATGTGTGTGGTGATGTGGTGTTTGGGAAGAGTTTGTATAAGTTGGAGTGGTGATTGCAGGAAAAGTGTCAAAGCAAAGGCTGATGTTGAGGGGAGAGGACGAGTTTATTTTGTTGGCAACTGCGCCGATGGAGGGGCAGCATCATAGCTTGACGTAGCTGCCAACCCGGGCAAAATCGGCGCTCGGGTCCACCGCAGGAGCTTTCGAAACAACGAGAAGGGCCGCGTCTCGATTCATTGGCACCCTCGAAGCCATTGCTAGACCTCACTCCATCTTCCAGGCATGTTACTCGAGATATGATTCGTGATGGCTACAAGAATGCTTCGGCAGTTCTCTTCGTGCATTCACTCGCTGCAGGTACAAGTGAGAGCTCTCCAGACGTTTCTCAGGATGAATTACAACTGTGCATTTCGATGGCTCCATGTATCAAAGTCGTTCTCAGCGAGAGTCGTGATTCCATTGTCTCTCCTGCATTTGTCCCTTTTTTCAAAACAACTGTGTATTCCCACAGGACCATATCACGACTCTGCGGCACCGTGAGATATAATCTGGAGTCACAGACCCAGCACACTGGTCAGACCCATGTGCTACTCTCGGCGGTACATCAAGGCGGAAGTTGATGTGGTGATCAATCACGCTCTCTGCAACTTGCCCGCGCGATCCGCAGCAATCTCACACATGGCCNNTGCATCTCGGTCAGCATGGGCTCACTACATAACGTGCTCGTGTACTCATACCTTGATTGCGGCTGCTCGCTCCGCATCAATGTCTCCAGCGGCGATTCTACGCTTCATGTCTTCCATGATGATAGGTCTGCTGCGACCATTGACAAAGACAACATATCTCAGTCCGGGATATGTCTGTTCGTATTTTTCGTTCAAGTCGCGTAGTTTGTGGGCTTCTTCTTCGCCGCCAGTGTTGAGTTGTGCTTGCTCTGCCTGGCTCTGTGCACTTTCGACCTTCTTTGCACCGAGTCTAGGATGCGATCCTAAGATGCTCTCGAGCCATTTGGTGTCACTGACGGAAGATGACTCGGAAAGCTCGGTGAGCTGTACACCGACAGCTGCGATAAGATCATTGTACGATGCGAATGTCTGGTTACGCAGCAGCTCTACGGAGAGTGTGTGCAGAGGGACGCTGGGTTCGAAGAGAAGGTCAAGGACACTTGCCCGCTGCTCCGCGGATAGCGACGGCAGCGAGGATATGGAGGGAAGGTCGGACATGATGAAGCTTGGGGATGTACAAAGACGTAACGTTCATGTCGAGTCAACATGGTTAGAGTTGTAGCATAGAGGTCCACACTTACCCCGGCAATTGGGCGAGTCTCTACCAGCCACCCACGACGCGGATTAGGTTGGCTATAGAAATGCACTACAATTTCAATACAAACAGTCTCCGCTACATTAACCTTCCGGCCTTCGTGTCTATATAATTCTTGCTGATTGTGATATGGTCCAGCTATAAGAATGCATAAATGTTCCTGGAAGCAGGGTAGTATAGGCTGAGAAATCGATCTCGGCGCCTCTCGGTGGACACACTATGGAGATGCACAATGCTTTACAGAGTAGCATCATCCGCAAGTCGTGGTCTCACCAGCCCTCTTCGGATCTTGACTGTTGTCTAGAAACATTTCTGCATTTCTATGCTGCTCTGCGACAGTCTTCAGCACACTGGGAGGCAGTATGATTTGGAAAATCCGCTGGGCTTCTCCAGTCAACTAGAGCTCGGACTGCATGCCACACGCGCCGTGCATGCTCCAAAGAAAGGTAAAAACAGCTCAGATCTCGGTTTGCGCGGCCGAGATAAAGAAAACGGCTCGGAGGATATCACAAAGATGGGATTGATTTTCGGCACGCGGGAGACCGAAGAGTTAGAAGTTCAAAGGCTGAGAGCCATACCAATTTCGTGAGGGTTGAGGTACAAAAGCGGCAGCCGTTCTGCCGATCATAGCTCTCTCGGAGACTTTATTCAACGTAGAATTTCGAAGTGCATCAGCGATGCAAAGGCAAGACGCACAGCATGCCGCATGCATACAGTAACGAACACCATGGAGTAGGTTTGTGCCTGAGAAGTTTCCGTGGTTCAGCTACAATGGTGTGTGCGTGGTGATTGTCTGTCTAGACAAGATTGGCCTGGGCGCTGCCACACAAAGTCAGGGTCAGCCAATCAATGGAGCAATCTACCGAGAGGCTACGGAAATCCCTAGATGAAAGCATACGACGATCAATCCGATTCGTGCTGATGGCCAAGTTTGGTTGGGGGCGAAGAGGAGGGGAAGGTTGATGTATGTATAATAGAGCAGTCCTGTGTCTCGAGTCTGCGAGCGACGAACAGCACCAGAGCACAATAATGCTGGTCGCCAGAAAGGGGCTCACTCAACTCGAAATTTGCGCGAGACACGGTCACACGCGCTTCTGGAATTAACGCCCCTGAATCTCTCCTGCAGCAAGGGCATAAGGTCTTGTAAAGTCAGAAGACGGTCCGGCGACGACTGGCAACAACCATGTCTCTAAACGGGCTGGATGTGCCAGAAGTGCAGCAGGCCTACCAGGCTACCTTGGCCGAGGCTGGGGGATGGTTTCTGGTGAGATACATCTCTCGCGACGAGGTCGCTCTGCTTGGCTGTGGGCAGGCCGGCTTGAGCGAAGCAAGAAACGCGATCCTGCAGTATGAGGAATTGTCGCCTCTGTACGGGCTGGTGATATACCGGCGCAGGAAAGTGCTTGTCAAATATGTGCCCGAGGGGACATCGCGGTTATTGCAAGGTACGAATCGGCCATTGGCGAAAGCGCAGATCAAGACTGACCGGGAGCGACGCANNGCGCGGACAGCGGTACACCTCCGGGAGGTGCAGGACATGTGGGCGCCGTACGAGACGATGCTCGAGATTGAGACGGCTGACGGGCTGAACGACACGGCTCTGGCAGCGGCCTTTCCTCTTCACACCGCCTCACCCGCACTGTCCAGCAGTAATCAATTCTCCTTGAACGAGATCACCGAGGACAACGAAGACGGCGACGCAGCCCCAAAGCCGCCGACCCACACCCCGTCCATATCGTCGGTATCGAGCCGGAAGCCCACGCTTGAAAAACGACCCCCGTCCCAGCGTTCTTACCGCGCCCCTTCTTTCTCGAGTGTCCAACTCGCTAGCGACCACTTGCCGGCTGTCAAGCACAAGTCGTCGCTGTCACAATTCNTGGTCCGGGAAGAGCTAGGGCACAAGTCAGTCACACAGTTGGATGGATACTCGGGGGTCGAAGACAACGCCTCGATCAAAGACGACGCGGCCTCGATACTCAGCACTCGCACCGAATCGGCCATCCCGTTGACATCTCCTACACGGACTCACACCAATGAGTCGGCCGACTACGATCTGGAAAGATATCTAGATTCGTTCTTCAAGCCGAAGATAAAGCTTGGCCCACGTCCGGTCAACGTTGGCGACAAAGGCAAGCTCACGACGGCAGGCGCGCCCGTGTCGAGCCTTCCTGCTGGCATCCAATTCAGACCAAAACAGCCCCTGGCACACCCACAACCACAATATCCTGCGAATCGCAATCGTCTGCCTGAACACGCCTCTTCGGGTATCACGGCGCCGCCGAGGCTGCCCTCGCTCCATTTCTCGCCTCAGATTCCAGACATTCCCGAGTTCCTCCCGCCTCGGCCCAACTCAAGAGGCAGCTCTCGCTCGTTACCAGCTACTCGTGCTTCCAAGGCCTATTTGACCCCTGAGAAGCAGCGGCTCATGAAGGCCCTTGAAATGAGGAAAAAGCAGATGAGGACTTCAGCCTCTGTAGAATCAATGCCACAACTGTCAGCTGCCCGAGTCGCTGGTCAAGGGGCTGCCGACGCGAGCCAGACCCAGGCGCAAGAGGGGCAACGCAGGACAGGTGCAAACAAAGCCGACTCCGGCATTGACATAGCACAACCTCCTGTCGTCAAGGAAATTCTACCTTCACTTTTGCAAGAAGACTTGAATCCAGTGGCTGAAGCGCCCCTGGAATCATCTGACGCCCGACCCATCGCAGAAGAGAGACAAGCAAAGACCCTCTTGACGAATTCTACTGAAACCCCCATTGACGAGGTCGCTACTAGTACAATCTTGGACAAAACAGCTCTGACGCCGAACTTTGTTGAGCCAGAACAGCCATCGAAGACTGACAAAGGCGAGCGCCTTATTCACAATCAGGAACACATCTCTGCGCAAAGACCAGCCGTAAAGGTGGAAGAGCCTACAAAATCACTTGCGGTTGATACTATCAGTGAAGCTCTGAACCACACTTCTGCCGTCAATTCTCGAGAAACTGAGAGCTTAGTGGATTCCACGATCTTTGACAACCAAACCCAGCCAGAGGCCCACGAGTCAATTCCCTCTTTTTCATCCGAGGCTCCCCAAGAGCGTGACAGCTTTGAGCCAGAGGTAGAGGCTAGTTCAGAAGATCCACAGAAGAGGCGCCGTAAGGGTCTGCTGGAACCTTTGCAGATCCAAGTTCGCCTCGAACGTCACACTTCTGAGCACAAGTTCCTTGCAGACGACGACTTCATGGACGAGCTACAGACTGCTACTTTCGAACAAGCCACCCCTATCGCTATGTCAAAGTCTCCTGCAAGCCCATTCTTCCCGCCGAGACGCCCGAGCTCCCGCTCTGCCAAGTCATCCAACTCGACTACCACAGCAGTGTCTACAGAATCGATTCCGCTCGTGCCTTCTGTCGGTGACACTCTGGACAAGCGCCAGATTGCTCCTGAGCTGTTGCTGCCTTCATTTGAACCGCAATCCGTTCTTCCGACTAGAACGCCATCAGTCTCTTCGGTAAGAACAACGGATTCGGGAACCCTCCTGCGCAAGACGAATGTGTCTTCTGGCATATCTGCAAGAATCGCCGCACTCGCCGAAAAGTCGACCCGAGATGGAAGTCCTCCTGTTGTTCCTGGCTCCCGCAAGCTGTCTGCTAATTCGACCATCGCACAACGCAAGAGTTCGTATATTGACCAATCCGCCGAACCTCAAGCTACTGGTGGCGCCGAGAGAAGACACGTTGGCAAATTATCTGTCTGGCCTGCCGCGACAGCATCCAACCCGTCGAATCCAAAGATCAGAGGCGCACAATCGAGCAATCGTGATTCGGTCTCAGTCACCGCACGCATCGTTCGCGTTCCACGTGCGGGAGAGCCGCTCAATGCACCCGAACTCCAGGCTTCACCACTCCTGTTCAACCACCAGCGTTCGGCACAGGCTGACAGCTCCACTCCTCTCGCCCCCATTGTCACTACCTCCAAACCGTCTCAGGGAGAGCATGACAGTGTCATGTCGTCGCACAGCAGGGATGGCGTGACGTCGCGCGGCTCAGTCGAGACCAGTGCCACTGGTAGACGCAAGTCGTTCGATCGCAAATCCTTCAAGAGTGTGAACGGTCCAGCCAGTCCAAAGAAGAACGCACTCCAGCAGAGTATGACAATGCCACCCCTCGACAACAGCCCGGATAAGACGAGTCGCACTAGTCGCTTTTTCAAGCGCATCTCTCATCTTGGTAAGGACAAGAAGAAGAGTCCTCAGGTGCCCTCAATCACGACCACGCCATCTGAGCCCATGTCTCCCACCTCAATTACTCGATCAGGCCCGACCAGCCCTGCAGCCGTCACCACAATTCCCGAAACTGTTCAGGAATCCAAGTCTGACCTTGCACCCCCAGCCATCGCTCGCAATCCAGCAGTCGCTGCAGTCGCTGCATCCAAGCCTCGACCGGAGTCTATCGCTGACGTCCCTCCTCCAGTGTCAATTGGAGATTTCAATGTGCAGTTTCCAGACACGATGCTTTGGAAGCGACGCTGGATTGAGATCGACAGTACTGGCCACCTCATCTTTACCGCGGCTGCTCGCCACAGCAGTATCCAAAAGTCTTTCAACTCCAAGTTCCACCTCAAGGAACTCGGTCCTCCCTTCATTCCCGATTTGGATAGACAGGAGATGCCACACAGTGTGATCTGCGATCTTGTCCAGGGAGAAGGTTCCATACAATGTGCCAGTGAGGATGCCATGTCGCAACGCCAACTATTGTCCCGTAAGTTACAGTTTGTTTGCTCTTGTCATACAATCAGCCGCTAATATATTCTTCATANNGTGCTTACTACTTATCACCAAGCCTGGAAGGCTGCTTGATTTTCGTTGTTGGAAACAAAGAATCTCAGACCTTTGATAAAAGACCAGGGCAGCACAGGATAATGCTGCCCCTTGCCTTCGCTCCTAAGCTCCAGCAGTTTTTCCCCCACCAAAACGCATCCAGTCGCTCCTTTAAACTCTTTACTTGTCTTCTAGATACCCCTTTCTCATTTCTCTTTCCTTTATCCCGCACATTGCGATTTTCTATGTACGATAATTCAACTTGGAGGCTTGCCTCACTTCTTCCTTCCTTCCTGCCTTCGTTTTCGTCGTGCTTATCAAAAACCAAGACTGTGCCTAATGTGAGTCGATGGATGCCAACTCTCCTTGACTGTTGTTCTGTCCCTTTATAGTATCCTGCGATTCTACAGTTGAAGTATTGCTGCTCTCCTTGTTGGGAGAGACGTTAGCCCGGAGGAGAACACACGTTCATGCATTGTCTCCCCGAGCAGAGAGTCATGTTACACGTATGACTGTAGAAATGCACAGTTGTGTTCAGATCAGGGGTGCATCCAAAGAGAGCAGGTTGGGTGGCGCCTCTTACTGCAAGACAATGATTCAGCGAGGTTCAACACAATATCAAGACGGTGAGGTGTCTCCCAAGCAATGAGTTGATGAAGAGGGCCTATCGGAATGCACAATCCATTGTCAGATCAGGGTACTTCCACAGAAAGCGCGTAATTTTCACGCTCTCAATGGACACACGCCTCGATATGATGAGTTTGTGCATTTCGATGGCAGACTCAAATCATTGCAGGTCATCTGGAGAGAGCGTGTATAGGAGATTGTAGCAGGAGTAGTACCTATTGTAGGTGACCTACAGGGTCAAGCTGACGGTTGGGCATCGGATTCACCTCTAATCGCTGCAACAAGCTAATTCAAAAGCTGTCAACAAACTCGATCTCATCGTGTGCAAACCATGTATGCATTCTTCCATTGGTATCCTCTACTTTTCGTCATCAGTCTCCTCTACATGCCCCAGTTTCGCATCGATGTACGCCTGCATCGAACCACCATGCTTTGCAAGCATCCAAACCAAAACACCACCACAAATGCACAAGATGACGCCTATTGTCGCAGCTAACCCAATTCCAATGGAATCAATCAAAGGCACGATGGCCGCATTTCCCGATGCGCCAAAGATGTACTGGATAAAGTATTTGGATGCAATGACTGCAGTGCGCTGTTCGGGTATGGCTTCTGATCGTAGCTTGTCAGCAGAGAAGACATCGAGTGGTGCGTTTGATGAAGACAGGAATGCCAGACTTACCAGCGCAATAAGTATTGAGAGAACTAAAGGCAGCCATGAGACCAAAGCCTATGAAAAGGCAGCCACGATGGCGAGTGCCAAGCCACCGACATCGTACTGCAGACACCATCCATAGATCAATTGCGACGCAGGTATGATGAGGAAGAAAGCAACAAGACCACTGTTGAGTCTATCTTGAGGAACACGTTTCCCACCGCGTTCGATGATCTTTTTGGCCATCGTCATATCTGAGAAACGACCTCCTGCAATGGCACCTAGCAGGAAACCTGCTCCTGGCGAGATGTAGAAGAGGCCAGATACAAGTGGCGATGTAAGATTAAAGCGAGGGTTGATCAAATGCCGAGGTGCAGCCAACAGAGAGTATTGGGTCCAGGCGAGTAAACCGCAAGCAAGGTCCTGGGTCATGTGTTAGCCATCGCCTAACTCTGTTACGTCTAGCCGTTGATAGTAAGCTATAGAAATGCACGTTTTTTTGAACCTAGAGTTGTGTCCGGGGAGAGCCATCAATATGATCACCTCTCCATGGACGTTGCTCGATGCTCTGATAAGATCGTGCATTGCCATAGTTACATGTAGACGACAGGCTTTAGCGCTGAAGGAGGTAGGAGACATACCGCGAAGAAGACATCAGGATATACGAGCAACGTAAACACTTTGAGCATCTCGATTTGAGACTTGCCCCAAAGCTTGAGACTGGGTCTTTCGGTGTTCTGATGTGGTTGGGCGATGGAGGGAACGAAGAAGAAGGAGAGCATAAGACCCAATCCCACCATAACAGTCTGTACCCAGAAGATGACTCTCCAAGAAGCAAAGGTGACGATGATGCCGCCCACTAGAGGACCTAATGCAGGTCCCAGGACAGAACCAACCATAAAGAAGCCCACAGCAGTGCCTCTTCTCCGTTGGTCAAAGATATCTGCTATTATGGTTTGACCTGTAGATATGTTAGATTTCTGAAGCTAGATCAAGGTGTGGCATGAACTTACCCGCAACCATGTTAAACGTGCCTTCGAAACCAGCAAGAACTCTCATAGCCGTGAACATGGCCATATTGATCGACAGCGCCGTGCCAATCGAGCATAAAAACAAGATGGCGATAGCACCATTGTAGGCCGTCCTTCTCCCTAACGTTCTAGCGATGGGTGCCCAGATAAAACTAGACGACCCCATGGCTAGTAGCACTCCAGCATTGGTGACATTGATGTGTTCGGATGTGGTCCCAAACTCGGCCGCTATCTCTGGGGTTGCTGGGTATAGACATGTGCTCGAGAATGTGGTGGCCAAGCACATGAAACTGGCGGTAAAAAGAATGACAAACTTATGCCAGCTTGGCAGGTCCATTCCTTGCTTGAACCTCTCTTTGGCTATCGGCGGCGCGCAGTTGAAGCGTCCATGATGCATCAATTGTTGGGATATTGATTGAAGTCTTGCTCCCATGGATTTGTGGTCAGATCAAGAAATCAATAGGTCGTTTGACGAAACAAAGAGATCGTCTAAGAGCAGATGCAGATGGATGTATACTTAAAAGTCAGAGATATGATCTACATCAATACAGGACGAGTGTAGTGTCTTCTGCGGCGAAAGAATTGGGATGCCGAAGAATTGATACCAAGATCAGCGACTTCAGCGACTTCGCACTTCTTTGCCGAGAAGAAGTCCGGCACCGCTCAGCCGTTCTCGGCGTGTATCTTTTCTACCCAAACACAAGGTTTGTAACAAACTTGTTTCATCTCAATGGTCGCTCATCTCCAGAAACAAGTTGTAGTGATCGTGATCAATACTTTGAGGGAAGTGGTCGGCAGAGAGATGTTCCCTCGGGGTTCGGGAAAAGAATTTGGAAGCAGCTCGGCGTCGGTGCATATCTTGCCGATGTGGTACAGTATTGTCTGTATACGTTCCACCCTGCCGTTCTTCTCCTTGTGCCGCACGTGTTTATGGTATAGTATATAGACACACTGTGTTTTTGAATCGGAACAACGTCCAAGGAGAGGTACTGTCCTGGAGCTATCTCTATGGTCGATCATCTAGTTCGGTAAGTAATTGTGCATTTTGACAGCATACTAGCAATGGGTAGTTGGCTCAGGAAAGAGATTGTGACAGAAAAACGTGTCCAAGTGAATCACGTGGTACCAGAAGTCAAGGTCTTGTAAGATGAAAAGGAGCAATTCATGATATGGGTCTATGTGACAACCAGTCTATATCGAACACCTAACGCTTGAAAGCAAATCATGAGGACGGGCTAAGAAATGGAAGCAACGACGTGGTTTGTATCAACAGGTTGAGAACAAACAATGATATGCAAAAGAAAATGACGTTAAAGAAATTCTGCGCTTGGAGGGTATATGCCAATCGAAACTCGACAGGTCGAAGAACAATAAACAGAGTGATAAAGAAAGAAAGAGAGGCATGAGATATTGTTTTAGGCCTCGGCCACAAGAGTGACCGGGCCATTGCGAAGAGGTGCACGATGGCCTTCAAAGCCCTCGGCGGGCCATCCTTGGTATGTAACTCCATCGTCAACGACATCACCAGCCATGACGAGGGTGTGTTCGAGCAGCATAGTGTCCTGGCCCATGTTTGCACCAGACAACAGTCTCGAACCGCTTCTGAGAACACTGCGATCACCGACAACCAAGGGGTTGAGGTTGAAGACACCACGAGAGTTAATGTGCGAAACCAGGGATGCATCATCAACAGCAACACGATCACCGAGAGTAAGAAGATCGGGCTCAGTGAACATCAGCGATGGCAGACCGCCCGAGAAGAGGGAGCAGTCCTTGCCGATGGTGGCACCAAGAGCGCGGAAGTACATGACAGCGAAGTGGGTACCAGTCAGGAGACCGATGACACCAGCACCACCATAGCACTGGCGACGCAGCTTCTCGATTGTGAGGAACAATTGCCAGCGTTGGCAGTAGCTGCTCTTGTCCCAGTCGTAGTTGCCGACCTGGCGTCTACCGAGAAGAATCCACTTGGCAGCGACAACGATGGCAAGAGCAAGGACAGCCTGGACAGTGTGTAGAACGGCGATGAAAGCGGCGAAGAGGGCGAAAATTAGAACAGGACGGTAGGGAGTGTCGGGGTTGTGGACGGGATCGGAAGTCTTAATGAGCTGGGCGACAAGTTGCAGGGCACCAATGGACGAGATATTCCAGTAGAATGCGACAAAGATGGTTGTGAAGGTTGAGTACAGGAAGATTGTCCAAGGACCGAAAACGTGGTAGGGAGCTTGGCCTTCGTAGAAGGCGCGACCGAAAGGCGACGAAGATGCGGCTGCCTGCTCCTTCTCGACCATCGTCATCGATGAGCTGCTGCTCAGCACACCTTCTTGAATTGCTTTCTCATTCTCAATCTTTTCTTTCTCGCTCAGAGTCACACTGCTAGAATTGGTAGTGCTGTTCAGGCTGGGCATGCCGTGTTGCACGTTAGCAGTATCAGAGGGGTTGGAGCGCTTGTTGCCACTGAGACAGATAGCCTCGCCGGCCTTGCTTCCAACCCATACTGTCTCCTGCTCGTAGTACTTGTTTCTGCGGGTCAAGGCACCGCTACCAAGGACGCTCTTCTTGCCAACGGTGACGCCAGGTAGAAGCACCACACGATCAGAGATCATGGCACCATCCTGAACCCGGACGTAATCGCTGCCAGTGCCGTCGGATGTTACAAGGTGAGAGCGAGAGCCGAAAACAATATCGCTTCCGATGTCGAGAAGATCAAAGTCCTGGAATGAAGGTCCAGTTCCAGGCCAATAGACACGTTGTCCAACCTTAGCACCCATGGCACGATATAGGACTGACGTTGCCTCGTAGTGACCACCGAACAGCTCGGTGACGCTGTGGAACGATGCAGGTGGTGCAATGGCTTTGAGCACGGCCATACGGAAACGTTGGGCTTGCGATCTGGACTGGGCTGGTCCTGGGGTAAGTTTACCGATGGTCATATCCAAAATCTTCTTGATGACCCAAACGGCAAAGAACCACGTGAGAGGAGCTGCACCAGCACTGAAGATCTTTGCAGCAAAATGCCAACCAATACGATGGGGAACGGCAAACCACAAGATGATTGACATGACCTTGTCCGAAGTAGGCTTGGGCTGCGTCAAGACAAGACCGACCAGACCACCAATCCAGGGACCGCTCTTGCAAAGAGTGACAATCAAAGAGATGGGAGTGATGAACAAGAAAGCTAGAATGGGATGGGCGCCGGGAATCTTGCTGGCAGACAAGTCGCGGAATTCTTCGCTGGCATCATCGGCCTCCCAGCTCGACGAGTTAGGACCAATGCATGCGTTGTCAGGCACTGATGTTCCAGGAGCGACGATAGACGCAAGACCGACACTTGCTGCCTTGCCTACACGAACATGACCGAGGTACATGCTGGTGTTATGCTCGGCACCAAAACCTCTGCAGATGCATTGGTCCAGGTTTGCTCCGTCTTCGAGAGTGACAAGATCGAACTCACGAATGACTGCACGCTTAGCGATCTTGACGCCCTTGCCAATCTTTGCTCCCATCAAGCGGTAGTACAGAGTGGTTCCGAGTTCAGATGAACCGAAGAAACCCTTTCCGAGAATCGTGACGATTTTGTCGGTGACCCACCAGCGCGTGTGATAAGGACCCCACATAGGGTACATGCCTTCCTTGTATGTACCCATGATAATCCACTTAAGACAGATGGCAAGAATGGGACAGACAATCAAAGTAATGGCCTTGGCGATACCAAGAGCGAGGATCAGGTTGAAGAGACGTCCAATAAGTCTAGTCGCGGTGACCCAGTCGCGCGTGGCACTGAGCATGTACATGAAACAAGTCCAAGTCAATGCACGCTTCAAGGGATACAGCAGACCGATGGGCAAAAGCTGGACCAAGAGGACAATAGGGTTGGTAGAGCTGTATGTCTTTTCGCAGCCATAGTTGACAGGAGCCAGCTCGGTTTCAGCAGCGGCATGCTTTTCGTCAGTAGGACCACGCATTTCGTCGATATTATGGGCCAAAGCGCTAATCCTGCTGTGCACGAAGAGCAAATCGATAGGCAGACGAACCTTGAACTCCTTGCGAAGTTCGGACAACAAGCGGCCAGCACGAAGACTGTCACCTCCCAAAGCGAAGAAGTCTGAGTCAGGAGTGAGCTCAGAAGCAGCACACGAAAGGATGCGAACGAAGACTTGAGCAATCTTGGCTTCGGTCTGAGTCATGTCGCCATCGATCTCGTCAGGACCGGCTTCGATCAGAGTCTCCAGCTGAGCATTGTCAACGGAGCCTTCTCTGTCTCTAGGCAGGGGAACGTCGAGGCAGTGCAATTTGCTCGGGATGAGATATCCGTCGAGCTCAGCGCGCAGAAGTGAGTCAAAGCTGGGGTAACTTGACATGACTGGGGTGATGGTCGAGTTCTTGCGAGGAGCGAGGAAAGCTTCTGGGTATCCGTCGTGAGACGCTTTTCTTACAGCAATGTCGATATCCATGCCGAAGACCGACGAAAGTTTGCGAGATACGAGGGCTGCGTCGAAGGAACAGATCGAACCACCGATACGGGTGCTGAGAGGAGTGTTTGGAGGAGGGCAAGCGGCTTCGAAATGGCGATCAGCCAGAGGCGTCTCGTCGGTGATCTCGGTCAGACCAAGACGCTCTGCAAGCTTGATGCGAAGAACCTTGTTGTTATTCTTAGGAAGATCGTCCATGTACACAACGTAGTTGGGCCACTTGACTTGACTCAGGGAGTCCTTTAGGGCTTCTTGAATAGTCTTGATGTCGGCACGGCGAGCACCAAGAGGGGTGACGAGGACCACACCAGGAACTTCCTGTAATACATCGTGGGGCATCGAGAACGCCAAAGCAGCCGACACGCGACCGAAGAGGGGNTTGCCTTCACGCTTAGCAGCAGTGACCACGGCTTCTTCGATTTCGAAGGGCGAGATGAGTTCACCACCTCTGTTGATGACTTCCTTGCTTCTTCCAGTCACGTAAAGGTAGCCGTCTGCGTCCAGATAACCCATGTCACCAGTGTCGAACCAGCCATCAGCGGTAAAGCATGAGGTGTCCAACACGTCGTTGTCTTTGAGATATCCACCAAACACGGGTGCACCTCTCACAGCGATGCGGCCGACCGTCTGGATGGGTAGTCTGCTATCGTTGCCGTCCAGAATCGCCATGTCTGGGCCGACGCTGACTCCAGATGTGCCAGATCGGTCGAGCTGATAGTTGAGAGGTGGACTTGAAATAGGCATGCACTCTGTCATACCGTAACTCGGAAGAACGATACACTTGAAAGTGTCTCGTAGTGTGCACGCAAGCGAAGGCAGAAGACCACCAGCGGCGTTACAAATCAATCTCATTTTGCTGTTCTCCAGCGCTGATGGGCGGTTGCGGCCTTCTTCAAGAATGACGGAATGCATTGAGGGAGAAGCATAGTACCAGGTTGGTTGCAGATCCTCAACAACATCCCAGAACAAGTTGGCATCAAAGGCTGGGCAGCAAATTGTGGAGCCACCGGCCATGATGGGAGCGAACAGATTTCTGACGATGCCACCAACGTGAAAGAGCGGCATCATGTTGATGCAAATGTCGTCCTTGGTCAGTCCCCAGGACTCAATGACAAATCCCACGCCAGAAATGATGGTATGAACAGTGTAGGGGACGACCTTCTTCTTGCCGGAAGTACCTGATGTGAACAGTACAAGTGCAATATCGTCAGATCCGTTGGGCTTGGGGTTTGAGCTGGTGAGTACGGGAGATCCATTACTGTAAACCATATCGAAAGTCGAGTCCTCTCTAGATTCAACAAGGATCACTTCGATTCCAGCCTCACGTACCCAAGAGCCATCCAGTCCCAGTCTTTGAATATCTGGTCGAGTAACGAGGACCACACTAGCTCCTGCTTGCATGACATCACTCTGGAACTGTTCTGGCCCTGAAGCCACTGTTACGGGCGCTGCTGTGTAGTAGGTTGCAGTGGCTAAAAGAGCCAATCCTAGCACGGGACCGTTCGGTAGAGCCAAGGCAACGACTGATCTGCGTCCAATGGTTTGTTTGGTGGGCAGACTAAAATCTCTCACAAATTGGTGTAACTTCTTGTGGCTAAGGGGGTTCGAGGATGAAGCACCATAAATTGCGGGAGTATCTGATTCGGGGAGCAGAGAGCAGACATCCGAATATGTGTTCTTCATCTGTTGTGATAAGGTATCCAGGAGCGCGTTATGTTGAGTATCCCTGCCCGCTATCACGTCTTCGGGTAGGAGATTCCATAGTCTCGAGAAACAGCATGAAAGATCGAATGTTGGCCAGGATCCTGGTAATGTGTCGAGTAATGAAGTGAGCAGCCGTAAAGAGGCAAGAGCAGTGTCGGCAGACAATGGTATCGAGGCAAGGAGGTTGATCTTGTTGATAAAAGGGTTGTTCATGGCGGCATCTAAGCAATTAGAAAGAGCAGCCACATGATTGCTTTTCGTTAACGGTTTGTCTTGAAAGACATAGTTGGCAATTGTAGTCCTGTCCATGGTAGAGGATGATATGTGTGGACGATAGGGACTCTGAACACGCAACCTCGTAAAGCGAAGGAGTTGAAGAAAGTAAGGGATACAACTGCCAGCCACGAGAGGCGCACGGAGAGCCTATATGTATAAAGGGATGAATAGAACAATCCCATGATGATACCACGCACGTTGGCTCGGTACACCACCCACTTCAACGGTTCCTTGCCAGTCAACCCAAACTTTACGCCCGTGACTCGCTTGACATGATCGGAGTCTGCAGCTGAGGCCGTAGGGTTGCTTGAGACATGGCTATCTTTAGTGGAGAACACCTAGAAAACAAGCATACAGGAGAACGATGTGCTAGAACGCGTAAGGAGCGTGGGTCCCAGTTCCAGACAGACTAGACAGCTGCGAAGATCAAATGGTCAAAGTGGATTCCGAAAGGGTAATTGATCGGGCAACTGGGCATCAACCAATTCATACATCCTTTCGTGCGTGCTGCAGAGTCTGCAGCTGGGTTGAGCACTTTGAAATGCAGATATGCGGACGCCTACCCGAGCTTGGATAAGTTGACGGCCTCGGCGAAGCCGTTTCGAGCACCTGGAGTGCACAGTCCGTGCCTCAATCAGTTGAGACTAACTTTATTCACGTCCCCGTAGCTCTACACGTGAGGCTAGCAGAGCTGATATCAGTGGCCTGGAGTCAATAACACGACATACTCTAGGGCTACACGACGAGGTTTCATGTTGAGCTGGAGCAAGCAGACTGCACCACCTCCAGTATGTGTCTTGACCAACACAAACGGCTGTATCCCTGCAGAGATCCGAGGGTAGAGAAATGAGAGCCGAACCTGGTCAACCAAATGGAAGCGCCGGAGTGTTCACGTCCAGCGCCGATTTAGCATCTGTTCTGAAGATCTTTTTCCTATCAAGCTCGGCGGCTAGTCCTCAGTCCGTGCGGCTTTGCCCGCGAACTAGCTGCAAGGTACCGTGCATAAGCACTTGGGCTGCAAGAAAAGGCAGCTGAAGAGGCTGATGGCGGCCAGAGAGGCGCTGGTTTCTAGGTTTGCCAAAATTAATCGCAAGACACGAGGGCTTGCAAATCATTAAACCTCAGCTTTCCCCCTGTATGAGCTGAGCTGAATAGGAGGTGTGCGACCGTGGTCTTTGAGTAAGAACGCTTTCAGGTTCGAGTCGAGTCGAGTCGATGCGGTAGACAAGCACCGCGTTGCGAGCCGGAACGGCCGTAGAATTTTCGCGAGAAACTTGATTGCCGAAGGTTCGCACGCTAGCGAATACAAGTAGCACCTGCATGTGCTGCTCACGCCGCACAGTGGAGGCTTAAATCATAGGGAGTTTAATCAACATTCGACAGCCCAGTATAACAGAAGTAGCCTAGGCGACTACCATCACCGTGGTACATACGATATGTAGCGCCTAATTCGATATCGACTTTGCGATTGATTGGAGATTTGTGATCACCGTTGATGGACTCATGTCTCAAGGCACAGACATATCGATACAACGTCATGGTCGGAACAACCGTTGTGTGAGTTCTTCTGTCTCAGCCTGCACCACAGCCGGTGGGCATCGGTAGTCGTAGATGTACAAGTACCTTCGTGGTTTGCAGATAACTCTGTTCTTGCGCATGAGGTCCGGGGTCCCAAAGTCTCTTTCGGCGCGTTCCTCGTTACTTCGTAGAAACATGCCGTCATAGGACATGCATATGCATCAAGAAAAAAGGGGGTGGTTGTTGGCTAATGGTACGAAGTCGATGCTCTTACCATCAGTCAACGAAACAGAAAAACGTAGATCTGTAATTTCATACGTGCGAGAGGGTTGACCTTGATATCTTGCGATCGTCGTCTGCATCCAAGGCGAGCTGCCAAGCCAAGGCCGTCAATATGCGAGCAAAGTTTAGATAAACCTCTTCATGCAGGAAAACAATAGGACAGCATATACGATTTATCGAATCCTGAGAGCAATTTATTCTATCCCTTGCAGCATTCTATTGTCTTGGATGCACCACGCTAAATCATGCCTCACACTTCCGACCTGTTTGCTGTGAGGCCCCTCGAACTTTGTGACAGTCGACCAAGCAGCTGGGGTGACGTGTGGGAAGACAGACGACGATATGGAGAAGCTGGACGAGAGATGACAAGAATGAGGGACTCCCGCTGCTCCGAAATCAGATCAGACGTCAACAGTGGAGCCAGGACAGCAACAGACAACCGCATGGCTTGTGTGTCAACCAGGATATGAGACTGCATGGTCCATGACTCCATCGACATCCCAGCTGTCAGGATGTTCGATTGCACACGTAACGTACTGCAAGCAACTACCACCTTGCCATGTGCTAAACTGTAGTACGTGCAGCTGCAGATTTGCACAATACCTACCCAAAAACAAGCTGGGGTCCACCGAGAGTCATGAACTAAACGGCTCTCTGCGGACTTTATTGCTAGACTCTCCAACGATTGTGCAATTTTGCAGCGACCGTTGTTCCATGCCATCGCATGGGAAGTGACAGGGAACGTGGGAGTAAGTGGATACCCCCTTGCACAGACCACACAGTTGATTGTGTGTAGATCCTGGGTAGATCCTAGATAACTGTAGATGGTTGAGTTGACCGTTGATAAGACGAAACATCGGTCAGTCGCATCGAGGTGCGGAAACTTCTTCACGTCCCGATGTATGCAGTCACCATTCGAACCCGAACTCTACCACACGCGTACGATGACCGGAGAGATCGTCCAGAGGTCAACCAACAACCTCCTCGACAAACTGGCACATAGCCCATTGTTTCAACTGGGCAAATTTCGAACGATCGGCATTATATCAACGATATGGACGATTCTATATGCAGAAATTGCAGAGCTTGAGCTTTCGTCGTCGCGCAGTGCTGGAATATCACCATCTAAGAACATTGTCCTTCTGAGACTAAAACCATGCCTTTGGGGTCCTGACTTTTCAAGCTCTCTCTCTCTGGAGGTGATATCTAATCTCAAGAGCACTGTGCATTGCGATGCAATGTTCGTCGGTGATTTTGGTGCTTGTGGGACCCCCTTGGACTAGTCTGCCAGTCACGGACCGGACCTGATGATCAAATAGCGCTGCAAGGTTATCACCGCACAACGTCTATGGTACGGCGAATAGACGAAACTACACGGCGCTGAGACTCTGATGCGAGTCAAGGCAAACACCGCGAGTTCGTAGGTCAATGCTCTATACAGATCGACCAAGATCATCCAAAGGTCTACTAACGTGCTCAATGGAAAACGGTTCGCACACCGATGTCTTGATAGGACTAAGACACTGCATGGCCTATGATAGGCAATGGGCTATGGGGTCTGCTCATCATCCACAGGTAGTCGATATGCAAGATGGTGGAGAATCGTAGCGATGATGCCTGTTGGGACCATGCCACCTAGCCACCATGGTGATCATACAACCCGGATTCTTGGCATGTGGATTGCTTCTAGGATCCACGAAAAGCGATTCTGCCAATGACACCTCCACGTTCCTGCTCCGCTCAGACATGTACGCGTCCTTTGGAAGATGTTATCGGCCGACTCCCAGTGTGGGAGACCCGGACGCACGTCCTGGAACATGATGTGACATTGGAAGGAGGATACACTTTCCCACTCGATGCAACGCATACAGGCTGCTGATCCAGGTGGAGCAATTTGGCAATCACCAGGGTGCTAGACTCAACGCATTGGGTGGTATCGAAAGCTAGAATGATGGTGAAGTCGTTGTTTGAAGCGTACGGCCGATAGCAAGCAACCAGGGAAAAGAGACACGGTAGGTAAACACAAGCGAGCATGAGTTGATGACAATGAGGAATCCAGGGAGGTTGGGAGCATGGAGTGAGCAGAATACGATCAGGTTCACTGACCTGGTCTTCGCGCATGCCCCGGTGTTCATGTCGCTCTTGAGTTTTTCATTGTCTGTTTCCTACCAGCTCTCCCCTACTCTCGTCTAACCTCCCCCTGTACTGAAGACAGTCACAGCTTGCTATAGAAATGCGCAACAACTTGCATAACAGAGCGAGATCCATGGAAACAAGGTAATGCTTGGACATCTCTATGGCCGCACTCCTATTCAGAAAGCGACTATGGGAGAGGGGTCGGTCACGAGGTTGTGACTGGCCTTCACCTGTGAAGACTGTAGAGAAAAGCACAGTGTTCTCTTGATGTCGCAAGAGGTCTAATCGGACACAATCCTAGCAAGCGCTCAGGTTAGTCGTGTCTCATCTCCTTAGGTGTTCAGGTATGTAGCCCTCACCTTGCTCTTCCCATGGAAATATACAACAAGCTTTTCGTTTGGAGGACCACACTGTTGCAAGAGAGGACCAAGAGACCAGAGATGTAACCAAGGAGAGACGATCGAGTGTGCTCTCTCGTTAGACATCGTCCTGTTTCCCAAGAAAGTTGTGCACTCTGACACGCATTCCATGATCTAGCATACAAGGGCAGACAGGACGGCAGGTACGTTGCTGAGTTGTTGTTGGAACCTCGAAACAGGCTGTCTTGGAGCTTAGGGTATTGTGAAGTCAAGCGATTGATATACAGACATGGACACCCTGACATGGAGATTCAACAGTTCTCAGAACCCTGCCCTCAGGCCTCCCACTGAACGAACAGGTAACTGTCACAGCCAGATCTCAACGTTCAAGAAGATTATTCGAATGACCGTGTGAGTTACCACAGTGTACAAGGTCGGTATGCGGCTTTGGATTTGAGAGGCCATCTGGAAAGGACCCAGGAAAGATGGTCGGTCAGCATCATCGGGTGGAGGAACAGGACGTGCAACACCTGTGGTTCGGACATGTCAACAAGCTACGGCTCATCTGAATACAGGCATCGGATAGCAAGGGACGGCAGACAGCCATGTAGGATTCAGTCGTGGTTCGGCGAGGGACTTGTGTCGAAGTTGGATGGTGGAGGTTGTACAAGGTGGTTGCTGGGCAACGCGACGGCAGCGTACCAAACAACAAAGACGAACTCTGGCTGTTAAGTAGGATGGATGGTGGATGGTTTGGCGCCGGGGCTACAGCAATTCTCGTTTTGTCTTTATCATTCTGTTGACGTCTTGTCCAAGGCAATCAGTCCTAGATAAGTAGTGTGACTACTAGCATTCCACAGCGCAGTTCGCAGTTCGCAGACGCTCGATCGTTGGATCTTCCGGCACGCTACTCCAGACAGCCGACACTGGCGTGAACGAGTGAACGAGGCGCGCAGCACTCGAGTCGTCTACAAGCAGAAGCTGCGACCCAGACAAGCAAAGCCGCTGCCCACTTACATGCCCTCAAACACCGACACCTGACGGTTTGGTCCTTCGCTCTTTCCCCCCCCCCCCCCCTCAGGCTGCCGGCAGCTCCTACCCTCGCCGACGACATGGACACTGGTCATCTGTCGCACCAAGTTACGACCATCATCAACCAGCTGCATGGCGTCTTTGACGACATCGGCCTGCCCACACATGAACGAGACGAGCGGGAAGCAGAGCTGTTCGCTGCTCTGTCCGAAACACTAAACAATCAGCTCAAACTGGTCGCANAAGTGAGATGCCCCCATTGAGCATGCGCCTCCATAAACCACACGGTGCTGACACGCGCTGCCAGAGAAAAGCATGATCTGACGGATGAGGCCCGCCGTCTGATCAAGTCGATCCGCCAGATGGAGGCCGCCTTGGTCGACGACAAGCCCCATCGCGACAGCGACTACCAGGACGAAGATCTCTCCATCACCCTCCCTCTGCGCGACTGCATCACATCTCTCAAGGACAAGCACAACACTGTCTCCAGGATCCACCGCGAACGCTACGAACAGATTAAGAGTTCGTCTTGCCATCTTGTCTGCTACTCTATCTTGCGCTGACCCTTTTTTACAGAGCTCGCTGAAGCGCTCGAATCCTATGCCTCGCACCTCGAACCATCCTTCGTCACCATCAAACTCCCTCCCACCTCGCCCAACTCCAAGATAGCTCCATCCTTCGATGTCTCGCCCTCGTATGTCAACTCTCTGGACAATGCCTTCACCCGCGTCTACGAAGAATACAACAAGCGCCTGGTCACGGTGCAAACTCTGGCAGAAGAAATCATCATGCTCTGGGGTGAACTGGGCACCCCTCAAGCCCAGATCGACAGCACCATCGTTAAGCACGCTCGGAATGCTCCCGAACAACTGGGCCTACACCAAGACGATCTGAATCGACTGAAGGGCAAGAAGGAAAAGCTGCTGGCCGAGAAGCGCAATCGCGAGGTCAGACTAGAAGAGCTCAAAGAGGCGATTGAGGCATTATGGGACAAACTGGGAGTCGATGAGAGTGAGCGCAAACCGTTCTTGGCCAGTAACAGAGGGTGTGGGCTGCGCGCCATCAACGAGTTCGAGGATGAGCTGGCTCGTCTGAACGAGCTGAAACGCCAGAACCTGCACCTGTTCGTCGAAGATGCTCGGTTCAAACTACAGGAGTTGTGGGATGGCCTCTATTTCTGCGAGGAAGAGATGCTCGAGTTCACGCCGGCCTTTTCAGGTGAGTTGGGCAGCAGCTCAATATGCTCAAGCAACTAACCGCCAAGCANNGATGTCTACTCGGACGCTTTGCTCGAGGCTCACGAGGCCGAGATTGCCCGCCTCGAAGCGCTCAAGGAACAACGCGCGCCCACTCTGGCCATGGTCGACAAGTATCGCTCGCTCGTCAAGGATCGCGACGACTTGGCTGCTTCGTCGCAAGACGCCTCTCGTCTCATGCTCCGTGGCCAAAAGGGTGAAAAGCGTGACCCCACGCGTCTTTTGCGCGAGGAGAAGATGCGCAAGCGTATCGCGAAAGAGCTGCCCAAGGTCGAAAGTGATCTGCGCCAGATCCTCGAAGAGTGGGAGGAAGAGTACGGCCGTTCCTTCCTTGTCCACGGCGAACGATACCTGGACGAGCTAGAAGCCACATCGCAGAAGCCTTCCTCCCAAGGCTCGGTGCGATCAAAGACGCCATCGATCCCTCCCCGATCAAAAACGCCATCATCAGTCCCGCCTTCGACTGTCCGGCCCAAGTCTGCAGCCGCCGCCGCTCCCACGACCGCTATCAAGAACCAGACACTGCGCGGCCCTCCTCGCTCCAAGACTCCTACCGCCTCGCGCAATCCTTTGGCCTCGTCTGTCATGGGTCCTCCCTCGTCCGTTTCATCGTCTAACTCCTCGTTTGCAGCTTCGGTCGGTCCGGGTAGTCTCCGCAGTCCCTCCAGAATCCCTGGCCGTCAGCCCCTGAGCAGTATGCTACAGGCTGGCAATTCAACCGCCCGTCGTCCTCNNCCCCCTGGTCCCTTGGGTCATTGTAGAACGGAGTCCGACAGTAGCACTCTTCGCAGCCGTATGGCTCCTCCACCGCGGCCCATGCCCTTGTCTCGCGACTTCTTCTCTCCACCCGAGACCCCATGTCCCATCAACAACGCCGACATGTCGTTTGAGCGCAGCGGCAGCATCATACGTCGCATGAGCCCCGAAGATCCCTATAGCGACCGCAGCTCGTTGCGCTCTGTCCGCACCTTCCAATCCACCGCTTCCTCACGCCCGGCATCTCAAGCTACGCACCATTACGTGGCAGCCGCGCCGCGACCCTCGCCACGCTTCGAGTACCCTGCTGCACCGCCATCGCTAGCCATGACCCGACAGACGTCAAACGCTTCCTCTGTCGAGACTTCCAACTCTGCCGTGTCTGGCTCCGAAAACTGGGAGACATATACCGATGCTTCTGACGACGACGAGCCAGATGCCCGCATGGCTTATTACGGCAAACTGCGCACGACTAAGCGTGACTCGCCAGAGGACAGCGCATACGATGGTGCTGGCAAGGGCTTTGGCGCCAAAGTCCGAGCAATAGGTGTCTCAGATGATGGCAGTGAGGCCGTATGGTCTGACGTGGGTGAGACGTTCTGATGAATTTCCTTCCTCCCTTTCTTCTCACGACCACCTTTACTTCCAACGCACAATGTCCGGATCCACTTGATCTTGTGTGGACAAATGATGTTTTTTCTGTTCTTTCTGGGAGGCAGCGCTTTCTCTTCTTTTTTTCCCCCCATACTACCATTTCGATGAGCATCCTTTTTTCCACGCTCTTCTTCATTAGATGCTTCTTCACGATTCTTGTAGTACTACACTTTTTTCTCCTTTTGCATCTTGGTCACGACGACGATGCCCGCAATACGAACTTTTTCAAGATCACCATCACCCGCTGTCAAATCCATCTTGTGCATGTCCATAGCTCTGCGCTATCATATGAAGCGAATTGGAAGCGAATTGGGAGCTGCATTCTTTCCGTGACCTATTGTCTATTCTTTTGTGCCTTTGTGATTGTCACTCATACAACTGTCTTGATCTGGTTTTTCGGCATTCGAACATGCCAAAGTCGATGTTAGATCAAATGTTTCTGGCTTCAGTTGCACTTTCTTATACTTTGTTGCTTTTGTGGCCAATACTCTTATCGAGGTTTGATTTCGTGATGAGGGTGGCTTTCTTGACCTCCAATGATACTGGACACTTGAGTTTCCACATCTGCAAACTCTTGCCCGAAAGCTCAGCGGACTCTATTCACAGAGTGCTCAAGAACAAACAATGCAGAAGCCAGCCCTTGGATTCTGTCTTGTTGACATGTCATAGAATATATGCAAGGACACAAAAGGTACGGGAGCAACAAGTTTTCGGTCTATACATGCTGTAGCACATCCGGGAGGGTGACACGAGGCAGTGTGCGAGCAAGAAAAGGGAGAGAACAACAGATATTACTTCATGCAACATGAGCTGGAACCAATAGGTTAGATGTCAGTTTGCTGGTAGTGATAGAACGTGCATGGGTCCTTTCGTAACACTATCATACGGACAGACGCTTTTTGTCAAAGATGGACAGTCACAGCTTCCGGGCAGTGTTCACCATAGCATTTGATGACATGTCACTCGGTCAGGACAACGGCTTAGCATGGGACTGCAGAAATGTAGCAGAATTATGTGTTCCATTAAGAAAGTTCTGCTGTTTATTTAAAGACGAGCGATCGAGCGAGCTACATGATATCTATGCTTATAACATATGATGGGGTAGAGTGCGTCGACAGCAATACATTCTGCTCCTGAAGAAAAGCCATGCGTTGGTAAAGCGGTGAAGAAGTGAAGCTGTCGCGGATGTGTATATACGCGTGCTGACAGGGTCTCGTGGACGTCGATTGATTATCAGTGGCCGTAGCAGTTCTGATCGACTAGGAGCATCAACTTCGGCCACTGGCTCGTTTCGAGATCTTTGATACGTTTCGCGGTCACAGCATCTCTCTTCTCCTTCTCCTCGACAGACAAGTTTTTGTCTGTAGTGGGGAATGGAACTTGTCCCAAAGATGAGGAGGAGATGGAGACGGAAGAAGTAGCAGAGAGAGCTCCACGTAGCTGAGATGGATGTACTGATGGTTTCAGGGCGAGCTGCAACATTGCCCGAGCGAAGCGTTGTTGATTTTCCTGGGTCAGGTCCATCGAGGTGCGGTCGATCAACACAGAGCTTGCTGATTCGCCAACACACTCGCTTGAATGTCTGTACATAGGATCAAGGCGTACTCCCCATTTGGCAGCTTGAGCCGGAAGAACGAGATAGCATACGGTTGCTTTCTCGGGACCGGACAAGCTGCGAGAGTAGCGCCTATCGACACTTTTCAGATACTGGATTATCGAGCCATCGAGAACTTCATGCATGATGAAGGCGTCCAAGCGGAAGTGCTTGCGTAGTACNCTGGAGCATGAATCAGTTCCAATCTCGATACGTGCCAAACTTGTACATACGTCGCTGTTGCCACTAGAGCTCATGTGCGTACGAACTCTGTCTGGCCAGTTTGCTTTGCTTTCGAAGCGATGTTCCCAGATAAATTCATTTCCGTCTTCAGAGTCTGAGTTAGCAGAGTAGTAGTAGTCGTCGTCGGCCCCAGCTTCGAAGATGTCCTCGAGCATTGACTTGTATGGTTCTGACTGACAAACAAGGCCTACTTCACCCACATGCTCCTTTACACTACACGACCCCTCGAAGCAACAGTACTTTCTGGCCCATCCGTGGCCAAAGCGCTTTTCCTGTCGACGGTACCAGACAAGAAGCTCTTCTTCGATGAAGCGGATGAGTTCTTTAGGAAGTTTGGTGATTCCAGCGTGCTCGCCTTTGCCAAATCGGTTGCACAGACGCAGGGTGTGAATCGTGGGAATGGCCTTGCGAAATGCATCGAGGTTGCGGAGGAGGTCTACTGGCTTGACTGGGATGCCCCTGTGGCGGATGTCAGCGCAGCATTGAATCGAGGTGTGAGGAAAAGCGTACCAGACAATGGCAGCAGTGGTGTCTCCCATAGTAGGAAGCACGCAAGCGGGCCTGGTGCGTTGTTTCAGATGGAGGTTTGCCCGTGCACAAGCTGCGCAGAGCGAGATGCGTGTGTTAATGGCAGGCAGGCTGAAATTGAGGGAAGTGGAAGTGCGAAGATGGAAGCGCTGCGTTTGATGTGGCCAGAAAAAGATCTGGACGGCAGGAAGGGAAACTGCGCGTGAATGCAGAAAGCGCGGTTGCCTTGGAGTCAGCAAACAGATAGCACGCGAAGTCTTTGTTTCTTGCATGTGCTCTTTGACTGAGGCAACTGCGAGCTGCGTTGTCTTGCTCTTTCTCTACGAAGCAATGCCACCTAGCTCTGAATCTTATTGACAACGCGTTTCAACACAAAGATGATGTCCTCTTCTCCACGGCTCTCTGTGGACACACCTCTGGCATGGAAAGATTTGTGCATTTCTATAGCTTACAATATTGCTCTATGTCGTCGTGTGAAAGCGGTTGGATGTGGCCGGCTGTATGCTTGTCGCGATTCATGAAGCTCGACTCGAGCTCTCCTTGGTCAAGGCCATGTCGAGAAGAGCCATGTGCATTGAGACGATGAACCTAGGAGAATACCGTGCCGAAGGAGTTGAGCCTGACCCTCACTCTTGTCTGAGCGATCACTCTACACACACCTCTACCTCGGACCCGTGACCTGTACCCCAGCTGCTCTTCTCCGCTTTGTCAAATACACGAAACTGTTTCGAAATGTCAGGCGTGCACTAAGAACATCACACGAGGTCAATAGGCCTGACTCTGCGCTCCACAGTTTGCAAGACCTCTGTGATTATTGAGTTGTGTCGAGAGCAGGCGAGTAGATTTTTTCCGAGTTCGTAACTTGGGTGGCAGAGAAATGGTCAAATTGTTTTCTCTAACGTTTTCAAGTGCCGTCGGTATGATTGCGGCGGGTGCCTGCATGGTTTGTTGACACTCTGGCGGATGCCGTGAAACGCAGGCTAGACTCGTACAAATCTGAAGCGCATTCAACCACTCGCCTTGTCGGGACTAGGTATCCTGGCTGTGTGCGTCTGGCAACAGTGTGAGGTCGTTACGGAAAGTTTGACTACCTAGTCAAAGGGACGGTCACTGTGTTCTTATGGTGAACATGATGGGATCGGAGAATTGATTTAACAAACAGGAGGCAAATGAGAGCGATCGGAGCGAGAGGCGCTAGAATCGGCACAAAAGCGTACCGGATGCCGGGTGGTTGACATGTTGACCCCTGAGGGCTTTTGTTTCCAATCAAAGAGCTGTTGGTTGCTAACGCCCAGACCATCACTTTGGCGAGCATTATTTATCATTGATACTCGGCGCACCTCGCAATCTTGAACCTTTGGACTCTTCTTCTACCATCTCTCGATATTCCGGATCCCTACGACCCGTCGCAACCGCTCGATCGCCAGGCACAGCACGCGAAAGAGGCGTCAGATTGGCTTTGCGACAACAAACGTCTGCGATAGGTTTCGACTGTCCAAGGACGTGTATCGTGGCTCTGCCCGGAAAAGGTACGTCAGTGTTGCGATAGCAGAGTGCCTGGTCGATTGTGCATGACCGCTGCATTTCGGCAACAAGCCAAGGAGATTATTGGGCACGGCAAAGCGATCCAAGGGCACATCACGATTGTTGCAAAACAAATTGCGAAAAAAGGCTTGAGGATGGCTTCTCCGCCACGTTCCGACTGCCCTTGGCGGGCAGACGACGTCGTTCCGTCATGGCCGTTCCCCTTTAATCAGCCATGACAAGCCCCCGATTTCATCGTCCGCCCAGCCTCTCGATTGTCCTTGTTGTCGTTTCTGCCTGCGTCGCCTTGCTCGCTCGCACCTCCACCTTTTTCACCACATAATTCTAATCCCTAATCGTGCAGAAGCACGCTGCCTCGAGCCATGCCGATACGCACCATCAATCCCTTTGTCGCGAACTCTCCCTCACCCTCGGTCGATGTCCTGAGCGAAAAGCCCTCTCTGCAAAGCTACAAGTCGCCCTCCACCAAGCCCAACAGCCGCATCGCCAGCTTCTTCTCGTCGCCCAAGGCCGCCTCTCTGCACCCCAACCCTCAGCACACGACCCGCCGTCCTCCCTCGCCTCAGGTCAACCGCGCCACACTGTCCCTGCCCACAATCAACCTCACCACCGCTACTGGCGAGAAGAGCAAGATCGAGGAGAGGCCAATGACCCTTTTCCAGCCCCCTTCACCCGAAGAGGCGCGCCGCATTGCAAAGGCACACGCCGCTTTTGGCCCCATTGGCTCGCAAGAGCACCGCTACTCGAGTCGTCACGATGGACAAGCCTTCCCCGAGCCCATCGAGGACACTCCGCCATACTACTTCCTCCTGACCACATACTTCAGCTACCTCGTGCTCATCATCTTCGGCCATGTGCGCGACTTTTTCGGCAAGCGCTTCAAGCAGGAGCAGTACAAGCACCTGTCGGCACGAGACGGATATGCACCGCTCAACAGCGATTTCGATAACTTCTACATCCGCAGACTGCAGCTGCGCATCAACGACTGCTTCAGACGCCCCATTACTGGAGTGCCCGGTAGATTCATCACTCTGCTCGACCGCAAGTCTGACGACTTCAACCTGAGTTTCAAGATGACGGGCACTACCACCGAAACCCTCAACATGAGTTCCTACAACTACCTCGGTTTCGCCCAGTCTGAGGGCGAGTGCGCAGACGCCGTAGAGGTCGCTACCAAGAAGTACGGCGTCAGCTTTGCCAGTCCCAGAGGCGACGCCGGCACTTCTGAGCTCCACGTCGAGGTCGAGAACCTGGTCGCCAAGTTTGTTGGAAAGGAATCAGCAATGATCTTCTCCATGGGTTTCGGCACCAACGCCACCACCTTCCCTGCACTCGTCGGAAAGGGTTGTCTTATCATTTCTGACGAGCTCAACCACTCCTCTATCCGCTTCGGTGCTAGACTCTCGGGTGCTGTTATCGAGATGTTCAAGCACAACAACATCAACGATTTGGAGCGTGTCCTCCGCGAGAGAATCTCTCAAGGCCAGCCTCGCACTCACCGTCCCTGGAAGAAGATTCTCGTTGCTGTTGAGGGTCTCTACTCCATGGAAGGCACCATGTGCAACCTCCCTGAAATCGTCGCTCTCAAGAGAAAGTACAAGTTCAACCTGTTCGTCGACGAAGCTCATTCCATCGGTGCTCTCGGTATGCAAGGTAGAGGTATCTGCGATTACTTCGGTATTGATCCCGCCGAAGTCGACATCCTTATGGGCACTTTCACAAAGTCGTTCGGTGCAAACGGTGGCTACGTTGCTGGTGACAAGGCCCTCATTGACAAGCTTCGTGTGACCAACGCTGGAACACTCTTCGGTGAGGCGCCTTCTCCTCCAGTTCTGGTTCAAATCTCTTCGGCTCTTCGTCTGATCATTGGCGAGATCGCTCCCGGACAAGGTCAAGAGCGTCTCGAGCGATTGGCTTTCAACTCAAGGTATCTTCGCCTCGGACTCAAGCGTCTTGGTTTCATCATCTATGGCCATGACGATTCGCCCATCATTCCTCTGCTTCTGTACAACCCCGCCAAGATCCCTGCCTTCTCCCACGAGATGCTCAAGCGCAAGATCGCTGTCGTCGTCGTCGGATACCCTGCTACACCGCTCATCTCTTCCCGCGCCAGATTCTGTGTCTCTGCCGCTCACACCAAGGATGATCTGGACCGTCTGCTCGCAGCTTGCGACCAGGCTGGCGATATCCTGCAACTCAAGTTCAGCAGCGGTATTGCTGGTGGCAAAGAACCAATTCCAGATGGCTTGATGAACGTTGAGGAGATGGAGCATCGCGACGACCTTGCAAAGGGCAAGACTCCCACCTACCAGCCACCTCGCTGGAAGCTTGAGGATATCATCAAGCGTGGTGTTCAGGACGTCAAGGCACCGCTGTTCTAAGAGCTGCATGAACATTCTCGGGCCATTCTTTGGCCCTTTTATTATCTTTTGGGGTTTATCTGGAATTTTTATTCCTTCTGGCGTAACAAGGTGTTTGCGGAACAGCCATGACCGACGATCTGGGACTTGAGGGAAATTTTTTGTCTGGGGTTTTACAATTCTTTCTTCTTCAATTCTTCCTCTTAGCAGCGCTCAAGTATTGCATAGGCGCCCTGCTTCTCTTTTGGTTCTTCACAAGGCAACCTGGGCTCTTGAAACCCAAAAGTCTTATAATCCCTAGAACTTTCTTATACCACTGGCGATCCGTCAGAACGACCAAAGGCTATTAGGCCCATGTCTACCACAGCTGCTTGCTGTCAATCAAAACTTCTCAAACACGTTTCTGTCCATGTCCATTGATTGTGTTCTTGTACAACTGATACGCGTGTTCTACTCAGCTCGAGCTATTATGTTAGGATGCAGATACGCTCAGAAGAGCCGGTAACTCGCAACATGTAAGAACACGGATTCATAGGTGGATTATTCAAACACATGGTTGTTCTGATCATAGACACGGCCATCGGGAGGATCATTACACTCACACAGGTCAACGGACAACACCTTGCTTCCAAACCACACTGTGCCTTTTCATAGCTCACAAAGAGAGCTAATCTGAGCGTCTTCCTTCCGTCTTTCTTCATCGAGCCTTGTGCATGCACTGACCGCAACAAATTTTTTCTCATGGCGATTTATAGCGGTTTCCCAAGCTCTCAAAATGCACAGTTGTTTAGAGGTCAGAGGTGTGTCGTCCAGAGAAAGTAGTCATGGCCATGTCTCTCGGCATGCTGAACAAGGTTCCACTGGACTGAGTGGGTCTCTATGCAGGAGTCGGGCTAATTCTTCTCTCTAGGCGCCTCGCTTCTGTTCGGCTCCATGAATCTCATTCTGAAAGTAAAAGGAGGACCAACGGATGGAAGACGTTCAAAAGAGATATCTCTTGGAGTAGTGGCACGAATGGTCATATTGATGACGGCGATCGGGTCCTCCTAACAATCTGGCCTCTCCATTATCGGGTAGTCGCGACCCCTGTCTTTAGGGCACGCATCTGTAACACAAGCCGCATTGCAGGACACATGTTTGTCGTTGCTGACTGCAACCCAAGTCTCCCAAGATGACTTGTTGATGACCATCTTGGAGAACGAGTCAGCTCCTGTATCACCATCCCACATGTCATGAAGGCCGGAGTGTTGCCTGTGGCTAGGGTCGGGACGGGACGTCGAGTGTGAGATGCATCTGAAACATCAATTGAATTGACGTGCGTTTGGTAGCAGATGTGATGCACTCTGCGGTGATGTTGTTTGCGCTCAGAGCTTGGCGGCTGACAGCAATCTTGCGAAGCCCTCGCCCTCTCGATCTCCTCCTACAGCGGCAACGAGCAATGTGCGCCTTGCGAAAACACACAGTACTATCCGGAGGAATTTTACGTCTGAGGAGAGCTATCATCTCATGGGCTCTCCCAGGATACCTGATTGAAAGGAGATTTGGTCTTGGTAGCTACATTTCTGACACACATTTGCATGTGGGCCAGCGCTTAGCACACCTGTCCGCCTGATGCCCACATCCTACTAGGGCAGCATCGTCGGGCCCCGAGTATCCGGCTATAAGGAAACTAACTTGAATGACCCACAGAACTGGTTTGTATGGTGCCAGTGATAATGGTGTGCGACCTATGATGCGACGCCGTAAGGTGCGGTCTCATACAGCATCAACATTGAAGTCGTCGTCCTGAGACGAGCCTTCCACTCTGGTCGCAGCCCAGAGTCGCCAAAAGAAGTCTTCGTTATCTGCTATAGGCCATCTCGACATCTAGACGATATAGCTGTGAGTCGATATGGTTCTGGAAGCACGGTAAACAACTTCGCGGCTCCTGAAACGCTTCTGCATCTCATGCAGCCTTCTATATCTGATACACCAGCGCGGGTCCTGCCGACGGCTTTATGCTGCACCAATTCTGGGGCCTCCATCCCTCTCTCCCTTCCGGACCAACCAGTCTGCAAGTAACGGTGGTGCAATTAAACTTGGGAGCATGGCATTTTCACGTGTGCAGTCGGCATGGTGGTCGCCTCCTTGGACCATCTGTAGACTTGGTATATAGGCCTTGTAGGTTTGCATCCCTTCCCTTGCTTTCGCACCTTCATTCTCTTGGTCGATTTGTCTTTCTATACAGTCTTTTTTTGGCGTTTACGCCTTTCCGTTCTTTCAGTCACTCCTTTGACATCTTGCACTGCTTTGATAGTAGTGTGCCATTCATTTTGCTTCACTCTCTTCACAAATCGACATTTCAAAGCGCTTGCGCGATTCAAAACAAACACTCTTCTTTACACACCAGCCTTTGCGTCGAGTCATCCGTCAGCCAAAGATGTTCTCCAAGTTCTGGACCGCTTTGGCACTCGTTGCTATCAATCTTCACCTTGTTGCCGCAAAGTCTGTTGTTGCGCATTTCATGCTGGATAACTCGTATGCCTACACTGTCGGACAATGGATGACTGACATGCAGACTGCTCAGCAGGCTGGCATCGATGGTTTCTCTCTCAACTGGATCCCTCCTGACTGCACCTCACCCAGCCGCAAATGGCAGATTGACCGTATCGATGATGCTTTCGACGCTGCCGAGAAGACTGGCTTCAAGCTCATGTTCTCTTTCGACATGAGCTACACGACCTGCAACAATTTCTGGAACACGACTTTCATGACCGACGTGATCACCAAACATGCTGGCAGCTCTGCTACCATGCGCTGGAATACCAATATCCTTGTCTCGACCTACGCCGGTGACAAGAACGATGCGTATGGAAACCAGTTCTTCCAGGACCTCAAGAACTCTTGCAAGGGCGAGGGCCACCCCATCACTCTGGCTCCTGCTCTTGTTTCGTACGCACAAGCTGCGCAGACCAATGCTGAGAAGTCTGCCGCCAAGATGATGAACGACTACCCTGCCATTGACGGCTATTTCAACTGTGAGTAGTGTCACATATCTGCCTGTGAACATTGACTAACCTTCTTATAGNGGCAAGCATGGCCTCTTATGGACTCCAACATGACTTGCACCGCCGATGAAGCATTCAAGGCTGCGCTCACCAAGAACGGAAAGACTGGCCCTTACATCATGGCCGTCTCCCCCTGGCAATACAAGGATCTCAACAACGGCGTCGCTTCCGACTCGTGGGTCGCCTACTCGGACACTCTCTTCGCCCAGCGTCTGCACAGCATCGCCAACAACGAATTCTCCCCCGACATTATCGAAGTGCTCACCTGGAACGACTTTTGCGAATCTCACTATCTACGCGATCTCCCCAGCATGACCAATGTCAGTGCCACGGACTATGTCACCTACAGCAACGGCATGGAGAACTATGTCGAAGGCATGAACCACGCTCCATGGCGTGTCATGGCCAAATACTACCTGAACTGGTGGAAGAACGGCAAGGCCCCTGTCATCACCATGGATCAAGTCGTCTATTGGTACCGAGTACACCCCAAGGCTGCGGCATGTTACGGCGGCTCTTCCAGTAAGATCAAGAACCAGAATTACCCTACTGATGCAGTGTTTGCCTGGGCATTGGTCAAGGACAAGGCCACCATTTCCATCAGTGTGGGCGCCAACAAGTATTGGGAATTTGAAGCCGATGCTTCCGGTCCTGCTCTTTCCATGGTTCCTTTCCCCAAGGATCTTGGTATCGGTGGTATCGCTCCTGAGGTCAGCATCAACAGAAACAACAAGGTTATCCAGTACTCGAAGGGTAGCATGCCCATCACAGCTTCTTGCGTAAGTGACATGTCCATTTTTTCTGTTGACTCAATACTGATGAATCGTGCCTAACAGAACTGGAGCAACTTCAACGCTCACGTCGAACTCTGCGGCGAAGGTGTCAACAAGGGCCCTTCTCCTTCGTCTTGATTTGACTACGGAAAAACACAACACTTTTACATTCAGACATGCGAAAAAGAAAGCTGAGTCTCTGCTGGGACAGAACTCGACATGCAACGAATTTCTGGCGAAGAAAAGAGGTATAACGGAGACTTTCAATTCTTGTTTGGGGGAAGACTTTATGACAAGGTGTGGATTGGAGTATGGATGGTCAGGATGGTAGGGGGCATGGTTACGACGAGATTACTCTTTCTTCTTCTGATGATGATTCTTCTTCCTTTTCTTTGTAGAACGGATCATGGCTACTAGACGATGGCCGACTTTTTCTCGCAGCTTCTACATGAGCCCCTTGAAAGAACATGTGGTCAACTTCGATTTCCTACTGTGTCTCTTGTCTTTTCGTCTCCGTGTGCTAAAGAGTGTTATACAGTAGCTATGGAGATGCACAATACTTTTCCACGATAAAGTGTTGTCCAAGGAGAGCTATCATTTCGAGGCTGCTTCCATGACCAAATTCTATGAACAGCTGTGCATTTCTATAGCATACTGTGGCCCCATTTACTGACCGGGAAGATTGTCTTCCTTCTCGCCTGATCGATCTTTCTTCCGCACAGAAGACCGGTCAGGCGCAAGGCTAATCTGGAACGCGACCAGCATAACACAAGGTCGACTTGGCACAGTATTTGTAACCTGTATATTTTGTATGCAATTGTACAAGAGATTATTCAAGATGTTGCAAACTTTTAGTCCCTCTTGCCGCCAGCAGAGCCCAGTGCATAGCTGCTGGTACCGGCAGTGTATCCATAACCACCCAGCCTGCCACCCTCCATACCACCGGTCATCCTATCTTTTCCATGATTCCTAAGTCTTCTCGGCAGCTCGACGCCTCGGAAGTAGACAATGCAGATGGCAGCTGCAGCGCCAGCGCTCAAGATGCAGTAGATCAAGGTACTGGCGTAGATGTGGCCGCCGACACCGGACCAGCCAGAGGGCAACTGCTGGCCGGAGTACCAGCGGATGGAGAAGGTGAAGGGTAGAGCGTCACCGATGACTATGCGGGTTGGCGGACGGGTAGAGATGGAGTACGCGGTGGCAGCATCAATGACACCAGGCGAGACGGACTTGGGCGCGGCATGTAGCAGCATGTTGAGATGCGACGAGACGTGCAGATGCGAGAGCTGCAAGGTGCCGGTCAAGGCAATGATGAGGGGAATGTATTCATCGCTGATACTGCCTTGACCTTCGATCGAGGCATCTTCTTTCGGGGCTTTGTAGGATTCGGAGAAGGGACGAGTGGGGATGCGACAGGTCATGGGAGCGTCGTTGTGGACGTAGAATTCGAGGAGGTGGAACATGGGGTCCGAGATGAAGTCGATGGTGCAATTGATGTCCTTCTCGACACCAAAGTAGATCTCTAGCGGCCGTCCGGTCTCGTTGCATGTGGGAAAAGGCACATATTGGAGTTGGCCTGAGGCATCCGTGACNCTGTGAGGCTATGTCAGTTGGAGGTATCATTTTCGGTTGCTTCTGTTCCTTACGTGCTCGCCAGTATCCGATGTCCTGTTGACNTTGTTTGTGTCAGTATAAAGGGCATGGAGCAGATGATGGGCAGACATACGACACGTCACGGGGATAGCATCTCCTGCGCGATAGATGGGCCTCTCATCGACCAGGGGCTCCTGCGTCGCTGCTGTCGCGAGGGCAGTGAAGAAGACGAGGCACAGCTGTACCAGCAATGAAATGCGCTTGTTAGCCATGGATAACAGTCAACTTGGAGCCTTCAAGCCTCGTCGAGTCGTTTGCCGCTGCTGCTGCTGCTGCTTCTGCTTCTCCTTGAAGCCACGCGAACAACAAACCACTTCCCCACAATTTCAACTCATGCAGCTTTGCCAATTTCTGTTGCTCTTCAGAATACTGAAGTTGCACAAGATCAATCTGTCGCCATGTGCATTGCTTTACATTCGACAAGTGTCTCTGCCACCGAGCTCTAGAGGAGACGTCTTCATCAAATCTAGTGCACTGCCAAAGACACCCATCATGAATCTGAGTTCCTCCCTCTGCCTGCCTATCGGAACAGCCTCTTTTGAGGTGAACCTTCTTCGCGGTCGTCGCTCCATCTGTCTTTTCCGCCTACTTTTCACNCTTGACGCTTTGAAAACACGAGAGTATGAGAGTGATTTGCTCCTTGCAGAATTCGCCAACTTCATTCCAGAAGTNCGGTGCGAAACAACTAACTTCATCACGAGGCGTCCGGCTAATAGCAGTCATGAACCCTGTCCCCTGGTCGCCATACCTTCTCCAACGCCTGATCCTGTTTCGGGGAAACCTCCANNAGAGCACGTCCGTCTTTTCGGCGACTGAAAGCTCTCGGAAGAAATGCAGCCTAAATTATGCACCAATAGCGGCAAAGGTTCATACAAAGCCGCTTGNCTGGAGCCCAGACCCGCCCCCACTAGTGGGGGCGCTGTGACGGTAGATTGAGAGGTCGGCCATTACACAAAACCTGTCCCATTTCCCACTGTTAGGGTATCGTGTGCTCTCTGTTCATTCTTTTCCTCTTCTCCTGTTACCCTTGTATACTCTCCATATCACACATCATGGTTACCATCACCAAGGCCACGACGAGGGACGTCAGATTCCCCGTGAGTCAACATGTTTACCCATCTCCACTCTCCCACAGCAATTGACCCGAGCCAATCTAGACGTCTCTTGACAAGACTGGCTCCGATGCCATGAACGCTGCTGGCGATTACTCGGCCGCATACTGTATCTTGCACACCGACTCGGACTTCTCTGGTCACGGCATGGTAAGTCACACCACACTTCCCCAGCTTCCCCACGCATCGTGTTAACCCCTGCTAGNNACCTTCACAATTGGTCGTGGCAACGAGATCGTTTGCCAGGCAATCTCTCTTCTCGCTGCCCGTGTCGAGGGAAAGAAGCTCGAGGACCTGGTCTCCAACTGGGGTCAGACCTGGAGGTACCTCGTTTCGGACAGTCAGTTGAGATGGATTGGCCCTGAGAAGGGTGTTATCCACCTTGCTCTCGGTGCTGTCGTCAATGCCATCTGGGACCTATGGGCAAAGACACTCAACAAGCCTGTCTGGAGAATCGTTGCTGAGATGTCTCCTGAGGAGTTTGTCTCGTGTATTGACTTCAGATACATCACCGATGCCATCACCAAAGAGGAGGCCATTGAGATGCTCAAGAAGGAGGAGCCTGGCAAGGCTGAGCGTATCAAGCACGCCGAGGCCAACAGAGCAGTTCCTGCTTACACGACCAGTGCCGGTTGGTTGGGCTATGGCAAGGACAAGATGAAGGGCTTGCTGCAAGAGACCCTCAACGCCGGCTACAAGCACTTCAAGCTCAAGGTCGGAACAAGTGTTGCCGAGGACAAGGAGAGACTGAGCATCGCCAGAGAGGTCATCGGTTACGACAGAGGCAACTTCCTCATGGTCGATGCCAACCAGGTCTGGTCCGTCCCGGAGGCCATCGAGTACATGAAGCAACTCGCCGAGTTCAAGCCCTGGTTCATCGAGGAGCCCACCAGCCCCGACGACGTCTTTGGCCACAAGGCCATCCGCGAGGCCCTCAAACCCTACAACATTGGTGTTGCCACTGGTGAGATGTGCCAGAACCGTGTCATCTTCAAGCAGCTTCTGCAACAAGGTGCCATCGACGTCTGCCAGATCGATGCTTGCCGTATGGGAGGTGTCAACGAGGTCCTTGCTGTTCTCCTCATCGCAAAGAAGTTCGGCGTGCCAATCGTCCCTCACTCTGGTGGTGTCGGTCTTCCCGAGTACACCCAGCACTTGAGCACTATCGACTACGTTGTTGTCAGCGGTAAGCTCAGTGTTCTCGAGTACGTTGACCACTTGCACGAGCACTTCTTCAACCCCAGTGTCATTAAGGATGGTTACTACACTACTCCCACCGAGCCTGGATACAGTGTCGAGATGAAGCCTGAGAGTATGGACAAGTTCGAATACCCTGGCAAGGACGGTGTTAGTTGGTGGAAGAGCGAGGAGGCCAGACCCATCCTTGAGGGTGAGAGGATATAAGATTTTCGACTCTGTCTTGTGGATATATCTCTTTATTAACGACATGTAATGGCAACTCAAAATAAACAGTTCAATGGTTCAGTTGGCGCCCAGTTGGCGTCCAGTTGGAGTGATTGGAATGTCGCATGCTTTTTCCCATGACAATCTTGGGCACCCTGTCCATACTTTCTCTATGTACTTTCTTTGCTCTGTAGTGCTTCATTGGTGCCGTCTTCGTTGACGGTCGCGTGAGATTATCGAGCCATGATATGTTTGAGGTAGACCGAAAGGTCTTTTGGCTTGCGGATTGTCGCTTTCGCGTGTCTGTCTCTAGGTAGCTTTACCTGCTCACTTTTGTCGTTGCTTGTACGATGCCTTCAGTCTCAAGCGTATTCAAAAAGGGTTATCTGGAAGTATAATAACAAAGAGGTCCACTATCGATAATCGAGACCCTACACTAGATATCTAAGACCCTAATAGATGGCATGGGTATGATATAGAAAGATTAACATTGTTCGGGATGTCGTGATATCGTCGACAACCTTTACAGCACTTGCTAGAGGTAGCACCCTGTCCCTATCACAGAAGGGCCAGGACCCTTGCGGTCTTTGGTGCTCCATCAATGTTCCAGACAAATAGTATGTGAATTGGCTGTCGTATAGGTAAGATGTATGATTTGGTCTGGCGCGCACATCTCCTTCATGTTTGCTCTTTGGCGACTCCAGCATAAGACGCGTCTATCGCCTGGTTCTTGCATTGCTCCCAGCTCTTGATGACCCGAAACAGGTCCTCACCACTGGCCGTCCTCGAAGTCGCCATAGCAGTCGTAGCTGCCGGTCGTTCGCTAGGTTCTGCGTTGGCCGCTACCGTGTTGCTCTGAAGCGACTGCGTCGTCTCATCGCCTTGGTGTCCCTCTGACGGTGATGGCTTGACTGCTTTCGTAGCGTCCCTTCGTGGCCGGCCCTTCCTAGGCTTTGTACGTGCGAACACTATCAACTCTTCTATGCTTGTCCTGTCTATGCCAGCCTTGTGCGCGCGTGACGAGAGTTGGCGTATGGCGGTCTTGGAGACGCCGGTTTTGGCTTCCACGTCGCTGTGTGAGGCATTGTGGATGAGAAACATGATTAATGCGGCTGCGCGCTTTTCGTCGCTGTATTCGGATCCTCGTGGCATGTTGATTGTTGGGATTTTGTCGCGGTTGCTTGAGACTCGACAGCTCGCGCTTCAAGTGATGCTTGCCGTCGTTGTTCTGGTCTATGGAAATAAGGTATATAATGATTATTAGCCATAAGTGCTTCAACAATTGGGGTTGTGGTCTAGTGGTATGACATCTTCTTAGCATTGCTTCTCGAGCATTACTGAGTGGAGAAGGTTCTGGGTTCGATTCCCAGCTACTCCATTTTTGCGCTTTTTGTATAGTCAGGCTTCCATGGCTTGTTCCAAGTCCGACTTTCGACCTCAATTTCCATTTTGTTTGCCCTCAATTGTGTTGCTTGTGCACTATGCAGTCAATATTGTGCGACTTTGAGGATATCGCCGAAAGCAGGGTGGCTCACGGACCGGAAAGCGAAAACGAGATAAAGACCGACGATCATCGGCACTAAGGCGTGTGCGCATGCGGGGAATTCGATTGGTCAGTGGCGATAAGTGCGATCAATGATGATGATGGCTTCTCCTTGTTTCCTGCCCCTCCTCGTCCTTCATTCACTTCACTCTCGTTCGTTGTCTTCCAGCTCTAATTTGCTCATCGGCGCCTTCTCACCATGGCCATCTCGCACGATCCCATCACCGCAGCTCCCACCGGCATCGACATCGAGGCATGGACGGTCGAACAGGCAGCCGAGGCGCTGCAGGCAACAACCATCTCGACGCCGGCCCCTCCTAGACTCCGCGCCAACGTCACGATTGAGATCCCGCTCGACGATGATGCCCTCGCTGCTGCGAATACCATGGCCACCGCTCAGCCACGATCAAAGCAAGAGGTTCACACCGTGTACAAGAGGCAAGAGCCCGTCCGTCGCGACAGCTTGAAACGCCGCGAAGCCTTGCTCAAGGGCAAGGAGGGCAGTCGTCGCAGACAGCGATGGGAGAACGACCGCCTGCTTAGCAATCCCTATGCTCAGCCTCCTCTGCCTAGCGACTGGGAGGTCCGTCCCACATACCCTATCCACAGCGTTCCATACTTCCTGGCCCCGCTGTGGGATGCCGAGTACAAGGCCAAAGCACAAGCCAAGGTGAACACTCGCCGCGCAAACAACGTTGGCGACATACGCGCACACGGGTCCAAGGAGGAACAAGCTGCGGCTAGAGTCCCGCGTGAGCTCCGCGAGAAGCTCAAGAAGAGCCGCGGTGCAAAGAACATGCTGCAAGATCTTGAAGAGGAGGTTAGAAGCTTCGTACAACAATGGTCTTCTAAGGAACGTCAGATGGCCGAGGATGGCCTGGTCGATGGTGACAGCGAGGACGAGGAGATCGTTTTCGTTGGCCGTAATGGTGCAATGAGCGACGACCGCAGACGTTCCAAGAGCGTTGTCAGCGACGACAGCAGTACTGCGAGCATCAGCAGTAATGATCTAGCAAGAGAGCGGATGATCCTCGAGACTCTCGCCGACGATCGCAGCGCTGCATTCGGGTACGTATATGATCTTTGTCCTAGTATAGCGACAGCCATTTGCTGACAGTCATTAGACNGCTGGCTTGTACATTCTATCGCGACATACTATGGTCTAGAGACGTGGTCAGTTACAAAGGGCAGTCCCGCTCGCCGTGAGGCCTACATAGGTCTTAAGCACAAGGCTGCCCCGGCGTTTTCCGAGTTACCACGACCTCTCTATGTTCTCGTCTAGATTACGATAGACTTGTTTTCTTTTCACTGTTCATATATCGACTACATCGGAATAGACATCCGTTTGCGGCTTTGCTTCGTGAAGAAGCGTTTGTTTAATCTTCTTCGACTCGGAATCTCCCTCCTTCGCTCGGCCGTCCCCTTGACGTGTTATGCTCATTAACATTTCACGTTCCTGGACAAGTCCTTCTTTTCGTTTCTGTGCTAGATCGCCTCTTCTTTGTTCTTTCCTTCTCACTCCCAACCGCTTCTCGATTTGTTTACAACAGCATGAAAGGTATGAATTGATCAAGCGACCGTGTGCAGAGGCAAGGGATAACCATTCCCGATTCTGCATCCAGGACGACGTAAGCTTTCAGATCTTAATAAAACTGAATTTCCAGCACATACGGCCACAGTCAGCTGAAAACTGGGCATCCCGTCCGCTCTGCCATACATAAGCAGTTGAACGGCAGATTAGTACTACGGTGGGTGACCACGTGGGAATCCCTGCTGCTCTATGTTTTGCATTCCAATTTTCTTTTGTCAATAGCAAATGCTTCGATGCAGAATCAGACAGTCGTTCTGTTGGCTGACGATTGGTTGTGCATGAATTCTTCGATTACTGTTTTGGCCTGTCTTGCAAGCATATTCTGATCCCGAACGCTCTCAAANAAGGCCAGACATTTGCTGATGTCCTCGCCATAAGAGGTAGCCAAATCATCCGCGGCATGTCGCAATTCTATTGCAAGCGTGGTTGCGGCAGAAAACAGGCAAGATGTGGTGGCCNNCTGTGGTTCATTAGCTCAATTGGCCAATGTTGAAATCGAGACTCGAATTGCTTACCAGCATCGACGCATTATAATGGAAGTGCTGTCTCTGTCGACCAATGTTATCAGAGCCTTGGCTGAACTTAGACAGACTGCCCCTGCTCTACTCGAAGATATCTCGCAATCAAGCCATTGATGCTGGAGGACGCGGTTGACGGTCAGACGATAGAACAGAAGCGCCAGTATAAAGGTTTCTCTCTGCCATGTTACCCACGGTACATGCTGTACCACTTGATGATCATCAGTATGTCCCAACATTGTGAGGTGGGGCGGAAGTTCGTCGATGATCTTGGCCAGAGACTCGTCTGCTTGCAAGACGTAATCTTCCAGAGCTGATGCGTCACCAGACACTCCCGGCAGTCGAGACGCGAAGCGATGGTATTCATAGGCCAGTCGTATCATCGCATTATGATATTGAATTGGATGAGGACGTGCATCGTTGAGGCCCGATGAGTTCTGCCAGTCTAAGCGATCATCATCCCTGAGTGTCGGAAGATANGCTTCTTGGATACATGTCGGTCGTGATGGTCGCTGCAGCCATTCGCAGATGACCAATGTCCACCAGACTCTACGACTCAGTTCTTGCTGAACAGGATCCTCGGAGACGGCAGGAGGTTCTTTGTCCATGCCGAGGCGTTGCGCTGTACGAAGTCCTATGGCGAGGAACGATGTTTCGAGATCGAAGTCTCTCATCTGCTTGACCAGTGCTAGTAAAATGGCGATCGCCTGGAGTGATCGCATGTCATGTCTTCGGATGAAGTCTGCTTTGTAAAGAAAGAATATTGAGGCATCGTACCAATTCCTGACAAGGCGCGATAGACCATCTNNAGCAAGCATCAGACGAATTCACCAGATCCTAAAGAAGTGTCTCGTACCTGGTTCTAGCCCAGCTGCGATGATATCGTCATTGTTCATATACATAAGACTAACCNNTATAGTATGCGGGTTAGCTGTGATATGAACGCCTCAAAAGCTACATCAACCTACTGCTATGAAAGCAAAATATATTGCCAACCACGAGGGATCCTCACCAAGCAGATTACCCTCGCCCATTCGTTCAACAAATCTTGAATGCTCGTTACAAAAGGTGGGCAGATGGACTGCACAATGAATCCAAGCCGTCCATACCGCGCCGTGACTAACAATTGCACGGCTGCTGATGCTGCATGGTATTTGCTTGTCGCACTTGATACGCTTCTTGGAACAGCGAGAACATGCTTTGGGGGCTCGCTGAGTCGAACGCATCGATGACAATATTATGTGTGAAGCATAGCATAGAAACGAATTGAATGAACAATTGAGGGGAGCAGATGTATAGAAAGGTACAACCTGCTTAGTCATCTGATGGCTCGCTTGGCGACTGCCCAAAAGCAGGAGACAAATGGAACTTGTACCAAGCTCCGATCGTCCGCCCTTGCTGTTTTCCATTTTATGCTATGTATACTTGAATAGATGCTTCCATGACATTTAATACCTCTGCTTCCTTGCTGACTTCATAGGCAACTTTGCATCGTGACAGCCTTGTAAGCACTACTTGGTTGCTTGATCTAATGCGTCAAACCAACTTGACGATGCTTCCGCTTCAAACTACATGATATCGGAAGGATTTCTGGGCGCTTGATGCTCACACGATCAATAAGGCTTCTTGCCGGCCAGTTTCTGGACAAAGTCCGTCTCTTCGGGGTGCTCAAAAGGCTCGTCCCTTTCTGCGAGATCGGGCTTTCCCAAACGTAACTTCTTCTCAGTGGCCGGAAATATGTTGTCGTGTGGCCAGTGTGTNCTAACTCTCCTGTCAGCGGATACTCGAACATGGTATCAGGAAGGACATTGGCTCACCGTTCCAATTCGCTTGTCAAACAGTTGCGCCTTCTTCTCGAGAGCTTCTGGAGTCGCAGAGGCAGCCGGAGTGTAGCAAGCATCTGGATCCGGTCAGTCAAATGCAAATTCGCTCGCATTCTGGCACTTACAAATCAATGCTCTCATATTCTGTGATCTGGGCACCTCGTTGTAGTGCATACATCTCGAATCCCACACGATAAGATCACCAGGACCAGCACAAATCTTAGCTATCGAGCAGCCACGGTGCTTGAACCATTCACACTCTGCTTTGTCGAACGGAAACCAATCAGGAGCGCCCCACGTGGGACGATCGAGAACGTCGGGATGAGCTGCGAAGAACTCTTCCATCAAGCGAGTCGAGCCTTTCATAACCAACAAACCTCCATCTTCAGGACCATTGGGAGCAAAGTTGATTATACCCTGAACACATTGCATACCCTTTCTTCGTGGCGATTGGTCAACGTGAGGCCAGGGTGTTGTAGGCGGCAGAGAAGAACCAGTGGGAAGAGTAAAATTTATCCCATCGAAGGAGGCGAGGAGCTCGTTCGTGCCCCAGATTTTGGTGAAAGCATCTATAACACCAGGCTCNTCTGACACATGTCAGCGACATCGTATGTCATGGTCTCTCGTGACTTACTGTCTGGCTTCCCACACGAATTTCTCGTGCTGGATTCTGTACCCGTGGTACATACCACCCTTCATGTGAGTTGGTAGATTCTTGTCCGTCCAGGTCGATTTATCGTTCCTATCAAAGCCAAAAGGAAAGCGCTCAAGCCAGTTGAACGTTTGTTCGATGTAGTGCTGACATCTCTGTTTGGGCACGGCATTTTTGACGACCGCGAAGCCGTCACGAAGAAGGTCTTCGTGCCACTGAGCTGTCGTCTCTTGATAGTTGGCGTGAGGCATGATCAATTGATTGCAAGAGAAAAAAATGCAGAATACAAGACTAATCGAGGCTCAAGCGATTCCTCGACTCGACTTATATGCGACACGCTGAGAGATCCTGTACAATGGATCGGCCGGCGGCCACCGTCTGAGGCACAAACGGAACATGAAGGATGTCAACTTTGTTTGGTAAAGACTCTTGCTAGCCAACGAGTTTGTTCTAGGACGCAGGAGATACCAAGTACCTTGAAAGAGCCAATTACGAATCTACCTCTGATACGTCTGGCAGTTTTAAGCTCTCGCGCGACATCTCGGGCTAGATATCGAGTCACGATAAGGGCTGGCATTCGGGCGAGATCTCGGGCGAGATCAACCTCTAGTGAGCTGAACAGTCGCGCTTTCTGATATTGACAACAGTACCCGGAGTGGTATAACAGCAGCATTTGCACATCACAAAATGGCTATCCATCAACGCATATCAAAATCTTTCAGACAGCATTGCTGCGTAATTCGACCGTTACAAAACCTCTTGTCATAATGCAACATTCGTATCATGGCCGATTCGACAATTGGTGGAAAGATGTCGGCCTTCGCAAGCTGATCTGTTGGCAAGCATGTATTCTGGCGTCGCAAATGGTGACGGGCTATGACGAAAGTGTTGTTGGCAGCTTTCAGTCGATGCAACCTTGGAAAGACTGTCGGTTTTCTGCCATATCCTTGTGCTCGTGTACTAATTCATGAATAGCTATGGACCACCCCGACGCATCTCGTCTCGGCCTCATCACCACAGTCGTTTTTATTGGAGGATTCGTTGGCTCTTTTGTTGCTCCACCAAGCTCCGACTACTTCGGTAGAAGAATCAGCATGCTCATTGGCTCAACGACAACTCTTTGTGGGACCATACTGCAGGCTGCCGCCCACAACTCTGATATGTTCATGGCTGGAAGGTTTCTCGTTGGTCTTGGTATCAGCTTCACCTGTGTCGCTGGTCCTCCTTTGTTGTATGAGCTAGCGCGTCCATCTATGCGAGCAGCAATGACCTCAACAGTAAGTAGTTGCTCTCGAGCAAATGAACAGGAGCATGCACAACATCTGACACATATCAGTNTCAACGTCCTATGGTACCTAGGCTCAATCATTGCAGCTTGGGTTACTTTCGCGACCGGACACTTGTCTACCACTTGGTCATGGCGAATTCCATCCCTGATCCAAGGAGTCACCCCAGCTATCGTCATACTAGCAGTTCTTTGTGGTATGCCCGAGTCTCCAAGGTGGCTGTATGCTCGTGGCAAAGTCGAAGAAGCACGAGCCATCCTTGCACATTATCATGCACATGACGACCTGAATGCGGACGCTGTTCAACAACAGTTGAACGAAATCCAGGCCACACTTGAACTTGAAAAGTTTGCCAGAACAGCTGGTGTTGGTGCTCTCTTCCGTACAAAAGCGAACCGCAAGCGTATGACTGTTGTTGTTGCGATGGCGTTGCTCACGCTCTGGAACGGACAGGGGGTCATCTCCTACTACTTTTCACCCATTCTGGACAGCGTTGGCATCAAAGACACCACATCTCAAACAGGCATCAACGGCGGTCTGCAAATCTGGAACTTCCTCTACTCCATCATGGGCGTGGTCCTCGCAAGCAAGATCGGCCGCCGTCCACTATGGCTGATTTCTTTTGGTGGTATGATCTTTGCTAATGTACCCTTGACGGTAGCAAGTGCCATGTATGCAAAGCGTGACTCCAAGCCGGCCGCATATGTCGTCGTTGTCTTTCTATTTATCTACGACGCTGCTTTCAATCTGGCCAACAATCCCCTCCTCTACAGCTACCCGACAGAGATATTGCCATTTGCTATTCGATCTCGTGGCCTTGGCGTCATGGTGGCAGTTTCTCAAGCCGCCTTGACAGTCAATCAATATGTCAATCCTATCGCCCTGGCGCACATCGGCTTTTACTACTATATTTTCTATCTCGGCATGCTCATCTTTGGTGTAAGTGATTGAAAGCTCAAAAGACATGTTCAAGCAGCTAATAGCAACAGGNTTGTGATCATCTACCTCATATTTCCAGAGACCAAGAATCTGTCAGAAGAAGAGCTTACTCTGCTGTTCGAGGACAAAGATGACGTGGTGCTGCAGGGACTTGAGACAGGAGAGCGCAAGGCCACGCATACTTCGGACGACGCACGCGAGAAGCTTGACTTTTCAGTAGAAGTTAAGCCAGATGGATCGATCTAGAGACCATCAAATACGAGTTTGTGCGATGTTTATGATTTCTGATCTGGGACTTGTATTGAGACCAACCTGAAAGGGGATGCTACTGAGTGCAATCACGAGGCCAAAGGAGGCTTGCGCACATGGGAAAGAGCGATGGATAGCGTATCTTGAATTAGGCTGCTAGAATTGAGCTTGAGTAGGACTTCTAAATTTTCACTTCGAGGAAACGATGTCTTTTGATGATGGCTAGATGTTTGCGTCTCTCAATTTTCGCAAGGCACTACTGAAAGCGAGTATCATCTGTCGTGTTGATAACAACTGATTGCAGCGACCTTTAAACCTCTTGATTGTTTTGAGGAGGAGACAAAGCTTTCGTTCCATCCACTCCTAATCTTGCATTCATTCTGCTATCTCAGGACCGAAGCTCTCGACTTTCACAGACTGTATGCGACGAGGATGATCTGCTTCCTTTGACTTTTGCGGTCTTTCATTGCTGCGCTTTGCTGTTTTGAATTTGGGAGACTTGCCGTCCACGTTGTGGTTTCGGTACAGTTCTTGCGATTCCTCCATTGTTGCTTCTTCAATGACCTTTAGCGCACTCAAGTATCTGGCATGAATCTGCTCCTTTTCCTCATCTGCGGCCATCTTCCTTTGGAATACCTTTTGTTCCAGAGTGTTGACAGCCCGAACCTTTTGCCATTGAGATCGTATGGAGAGGTAGCAGTGAAACGTGTGAGCCACAGCATCAAGATGTCGAGCGCTCCACTTTCACGCCCTCACTCTAGTTGGAGGCGAGAACGAGCAGCTTTCATCGTGCTCTGACTATAACGTAGAGCAGGATGTACACTGTGCAAAGGCAGGAATATTTTTGGATGCAGAGCCATGACTACAGAGTGTCGACAAATCACCGCCTTTCACTGGGCACTGTTCTTTTTCCTAATAGTATTGTGCATTTCTATAGCTGCACATCATACGCGTTCGCACATGAGATGGGCACCGTAACTGCAACTACAGAGGTACCCAAGGAGGTTGTTCTTTCACTCTGTTTCATCGCACCTCGGACTAGCAATCGCACTTTTGCGTAGATGCATAGCTGGCTCCGAGGCGAGATTGCTACCTCTCAGAACGGTATCCGTTTTGACCATGTTCATCTTGACATCAAGCGAGTCTTGAACAGCTCCCAGAATCTCAGGCAGGAACGGTGCATGTTCGTGCCTTCTACCCAAAACTCGCCAAAGCTGTCTTCAACCGCCACGCCCACTTTGGCCACTCTCTCCTCTCGCTTCAATCCACACAGCGCGCATGCTTGCGTACTTGTAATAGCACCCTCCGATCCCTTGGCCACGCGCACGGGGAGTGCATCTCCCAACTCTGGCACAGTGAGTTTGCTTCCATGCATTGAAGCGCCTGTGACTGCCGTCTTGAGTCTGCCTGCTTGCTCGCGCCATACGGCTAGTACGACTTGAACTTCGGTGTCCTCACGCCCGGTTTCGGATTTGTCGAGGCCGGTGAGTTTCATGCCGCCGCTGCGGCCTGACATGGCTGGTCCAATACGCATGCTCTGAGCCAGGTGTTTGTCACGCTTCCAGCGACACTTACGGCCAGCGATTACGTGGCCGAGGATGTGGGTGAGAGTTACGTAAGAGGCGAGGAAGGTTTTTGTTTCTGTTAGGGAGAGGAAGTGGGATTTTTGAGATGACGGGAGACTGCTTAGCGGATGCAGGAATTGGTGGGCCAAGGAGGTCAGGACAGGTGGAAAGATTGTCAAGAGGACTGAAGGAGGCGGGATGTTGGATGGTGCCACGCCCGTGGTTGTAGGCAGAGCAGTAAGATCTCCCAAGACGTCTTCCGGTAATCGGATCTCTGGAGCTTCTTCTGGTGTTTTGGTTTGTGGTGATGGTTGTGAAGGCTGCGAGGTCTCGAAGTCGTCCCAAGCATCGTCGTTTGATAACAGAGACTCTTGACGAGGTATAGCTGTGGGGCGCGTGGTTGGAGCCTTGGGAGTCGGAACTGCCGCCTTTTGTGTCCTTGCCGGGCCTGACGATTGGGTTGTCCTAGTTGTTGTCTCCATTGAGTCATCCAGACCTAAAAGGTCTACATCACTCGATGGTGGTTGCCTGGCCGTTCTCGACTGGGTCGTTGGTATTGATGGCTTTGTTGCCTTGTCGCTAACAGTCGGTGTCTCGCTAGTCTCAAAATCTCCAAAATCATCATCATCATCATCGCCCCACGAACCAACGACATCTGCATCTTCAAACTCATCGTACTCGTCTGCATCGAATAGAACATCAGCAAGTCCCGCGAAAGGATGATTGCTTTTTAGTTGACTGGCGTTGGTGGCTTTCTTCAAGATGACTGGAGGGCCCGAACTCTTCTTTGTAGGCGGTGGGGCAGGTTTTGAAGCAGGTTTCGGAGCAGGCTTGGGATCAGGCTTGACCTCTTTTACAGGTGGTGCGGGAGACTTTTGCCGATTTGTTTGAATGTTCTGCTGTGGTTCTGGCTCTGGCTCCTCGAAATCACCAAAATCATCTTCATCATCATCCCACGGATTATCGTCCTGATTTGGTGGCTGAGTATTGTGGATTTGCGTTCGGTGTGTATTCGAAGTGTAGTTTGACTGCAAAGGAGAAGGCTGTGTTCGAGTCGAGGTATAATTTTGAGTAGTATCATCTTCAAGGGTGAAATCCCCAAACTCGGCCAATAGATCTTGAGACATGGCGAGGAGTCTCGTTACAGCCGTATCGGGAAGACCGTTCGACAGCCCGTCTTTGATCTATCGCTGCTTCCGAACTTGTAAAGAGTTGTCGTGATGGGTTATTTATATTCGGAAGTGGCTCGTGGTTGTTCGGCGTTTGTGTCTATCTCGAAAATGTTTGACTTGTTTGCTTGTGACGTCGGCCCACCTGCAACGGTCATGCCTGAGTTGGTATCTCTATCTGTAAACAACAATACCAGGGACGTCAAGACAGGCATCTTTGAACTATGCGGTCCCTTGTTGAGGCAAAAGAGTCGTGGCAAATTCTACAAGCATACAAATCTCTGGCCGATCTGAAGGAAGCTATCCGTGACGAGAATGAGCCCGACTCACTGACCAAGTCCAGATCGCTTCTATGGAAGGTCGAAATCACCATGTTTTCTAAAAAAATCCCCTAAGCTGATGGCTTGAGTAGANTTTTCCTCTTGTTCGAAGGGTTCGACCATTCACAATGGGTTCAACGATCAGCAGATTCACGCTCGGCATATGCTTCGGTACGCTCACATCTATTGCGAGGACTCGAACATCCTGAAGAAGTCTTGGGCTCCAACTTGGATCCACTGAGCGAAGATTCCGAGGTATACTACATCACAATCAAGAATGGTACACATTCCCGTCTCATTGATAGCTAAGTCTTGAAAGNNTCTCCTTGGGCCGTCTTACGACAGGATGAAGCATTGCGTGCCGAGATTATGCAAGATGTCGACCGATGCATGCCGGACAACATTTACTTTCGCCAACCACAAACTCAGACCATGTTGTTGGATGTCTTGTTTGTGTTTTGCAAGTTGAATCCAGATGTCGGTTACAGACAAGGCATGCACGAGCTGCTGGCTCCTATTCTATGGGTCGTAGAGAAAGATGCAGTGTCGAGTAAGGCCACTGATGACTCTAGTCCAGAGGATAAGTTGTTGTGCCACATATTTGATTCTGACTTTGTTGAGCATGACACCTTCACTCTGTTTGGTATTGTCATGCAAGGAGCCAAGTCCTTCTACGAGCAAGCAGCACATACTGCACCTTCAAAGCTTACTGCCACCCCGACCAAGCCTGCAGCAACACTAGAAAACCCAATCCTCACTCGGATACACAGAATCTTCGACGAGTTCCTACCTCACGTAGATCCAACACTTGCACAGCATCTGCAGGAAATCGATCTAATACCCCAAGTCTTCCTCATGTCAGTGACCAATAACCACAGTGAAACATTCAGCTAACATGTTACAGGCNGATGGATCCGACTGTTGTTCGGCCGAGAATTTGGCTTCGACGATGTCTTGAGCATGTGGGATGCCATATTTGCTGACGACCCAAGCCTCGAGATTGTAGACCTCGTTTGCCTGAACATGCTTCTGAGACTACATTGGGATTGTAAGCAGACATCCTGCAGTAAACTTTGTTGCATTGCACACGTAGACTAACCGCTGACAGTAATGGATGCTGATTACAACACGGCACTCACACTTCTGCTCAGATATCCCGCCCTCGAGGACGGCAAAACTCCTCAAGAATTCGTGACAAACGCGGTGTACCTGAGAAACAACTTCAATCACGCTGGCGCAAGCAGCTTGGTCGAGAAATACTCAGGAAGACCTCTGCCAGAACCAACGGAGACTCCCACCAACACACTACAACCTTCTATGCCTGGAAAACTGCGAATGCAAATGCCTGGCCGGGCATCAAGCAATTTCGAAGACATGCTCCAAGGTGCCGCAAAGGGCGTGCTGCAACGGGGCGAGAAATGGGGCATTAACAAAGCCTTCCGAGATGCCATGGATGAGGTACGCAAAGGTGTAAGAGAGATCCAAGCAGCCCAAACTCCACAAGCACCATCACGACACACGCGCGGGTTATCGAGACAGAGCGGGACATCAGATAGATCAACCAACCCAAGCCTACAACTCACTGTCCTGGAACAACGCAACACGGCGCTGTCGAAGATGCTCAAGAAAGCCATTGACGACCTCTGGACATATCACGAGACCGCCGTGGCAGGCAAGGCTTCGGAAGAGGACTCGTTAAAGAGCTTGAGTATGGCAATTGCAAAGGTGCAATTTGTACAAGTATACCTCGAGGATGCGTCGGTACCTCTGTCTGCAGAAGAAGATGCCACCGAGACAGGCAAAGAAGAAGCTATCGAGGTCACAGAAGTTCTACCACAGATCAAAGAACCGGCGAGTGCTCATATCGACAACGAGCCAGCCGCTCAAGACACAGAAGAGTCGAGGGACACAAAGGCAATCGTTGAAGCTGCTGAAGAGTCTGTCGATGCGCCCAAGCAAGAGATCGAAGATGCTGCACCAGCAAAGGCCACAAAAACAGCCGATGTGCCGCTCGACTTTCACACCCCAAGGCCCACACTAGCGCAATCATCATTCTCATGGATGCTGGGACAATCACCAGAGACAAGCGCCAGCAACTTTGCTCAAGCGAAAGGGCTGGCACCGTCAGACATTCGACGCCGAAGCAAGGGCTTCTTATTCGGCGATGAGGATGACACGAGAGCTGGAAGCCCAGAAAAGAAGANNAAAGACAGCAAGAGAGGAAAGGATAGAAAGAAGCAGGTCAAGAAAGAGGTGCTCTTCGAGCAGGAGCCCGTCGAGGAAGAATTCGACCTCGGTGCTTTGGAAGAAGAGAAGAAGGCAGGGAAGGAGAAAGCTGACGGTGTCAAGAGTAAATAGTAAACGAATACGACGATGGTCAGAATTAAATAATGTCTTTTCATTATGCTTCAACTCGTAAGGTGTTGTGTAAGGATGCTTGAAAATCAAAGTGTGATATGCTGCTCTAGCCTCGGTACACGAGTGGCGCGATACATTTCAACTGGTACGTGGCTGCACGAGGCTTGTTCCTCTTCTTTTAATTCTTCTTGGGGGCCTTCTTCTGTGCCTCCAGATAATCACCCCAGCCAGGGCCAGTGAGCTTAGGCAAAAACTTGCCAACTCTCTGCTGATAGATCTTGTACTCTGGGTATTTCTCAGCGCTCAGCTTCTCGGTGAGCCAAGTGCTGGACTGGAAGAGGATCAAGTATGACATGGCGCCGATACCGGTCCAGTTGTACAACGAAGATGTCTCGACACAGGACCATTGGTACAAGGTAACCCAGACGAGTTGCTCGCCGAGGAAGTTGGGGTGTCTGGAGTAGCGGAAGAGGCCAGTGGTGTTGAAGCCTGGCTCAAGATCCTCGCGGGTCCAACCAGCAGGAACCTTGGCTGTCTTCTGATAGGCATGCTTGGCCTTGTGGAAGTTCCACTGCGAACCGTCGGCGAAGAACTCGAGGACGACGAGGGCCAGGAGACCGCGGGCGAAGAGAATGTCGGTGGTGTTCATGTTCTGGCCAGAGAGACGCGAGGCAAGCATGAGGATGTATGTGGGAGCGGTGACCATGAAGAGCAGAACACTCTGGGCGATGCAGATGAATAGAATGTTGAAAATGAAGAAGAGCGGGCGGTTGACCCAGCTGCGTACTGTTTCCCATCGGTAATCCTCTGAGCCAACGCTATAACCACCTCTACGCCAGTAGTTGAAGGTCAGACGGATGGACCAGCAGACGCTGAAGGCCAAGATATTGTCGAGTCTCTGGGTGGGCAGACCATTCATGCGAGCCCAGATATTGTAATGAAGGTTGTAGACGGTAGGCAACAAGCTCCAGCAGCGGTCGACCTGCGAGTAGTTCTTGTTGATCTCAGACACAATCAGGAAGATGGGAGTAATTGCCAGAGCAAAGGCAAAGCCCGAGATCAGCGGGTTGGTGGTGAGGTACAGATGCTTTAGAGCTTGCGTGTCGGCGCCTGCTTGGAGGATCTGCTGAGGGAGAGCATAGAGCTGGTCGACAAAAGGAAGGACGGTCTTGCCGAAGTCTACCGTGTCGGCGAGCGTCTTGACAAGAGGCAGCGCCGTGCCAACTGGTGGAGGAAGCAGCATGGTGATAGCTAGAAACAAGGTCAATCTGGTGTGATTGAGAGGTGTGAACGTGGATTCGGCGCGTGAGAGCGAACTTCGAAGCTCGAAGCAACAGATCAGGAAACCGCGATCGACGACAACATCAAGTCGTCATCGCCAAGCATCACGGAAGGGGGAAAGGGTCCACCATCATGTCCCGATCAGGCAGCGGCGCGTCTTCCGCCTTCCCCACGCGTCCTGACTTTTTGATGCGTCTCGACGACTCGATCATTCACAGCGAATTCGCAACACAATGGTCTGACCAAGTCGAAAGTGCCCACAGAGATGGTAACCAAAGTTCTCTGTGTGGCAGAAAAGCCTTCAATCGCCAAAGCTGTCGCTGGTCATCTCTCCGGCGGCTCACATCGAGTTGTAAGCTTTCCATCTATTCCGCCACTCCATTCATTCGTTCTTTTTGTCAACGCTTTCGCGAACAAATGTTAATTCAGGTTGCAGTCCAACACACGCACACCGTGGCTCAAAAACTACAACTTCTCATACAACTTTCCCAATTGGGGTGCCTGCGATGTGATCATGACGAGTGTAGCCGGCCATCTACAAAGTACAGATTTCGTGTCTGATTTCAAAGGCTGGAAATCTTGTGATCCGGAGCGCCTTNTTGACGCTCCCTTAGTGACTTATGTCGAAGACGACAAGAAAGGCATTGCTGCGAATATCGAGACACAAGCTCGCAACGTACAGATTCTCTTCATCTGGACCGATTGCGATAGAGAAGGCGAACACATCGGCAGCGAAATCAGAGAAGTTGCTCTGAGCACCAATCCTCGCCTAAGACAGCCTGGAAAGATTGTTCGAGCCAGGTTCTCCAACATTGAAAGAGCCCATATCATACAGGCCGCTCGCAATCCCATTGCCCTCGATGAAAACTCGGCCAATGCTGTCGCTGCCAGAATCGAGCTCGATCTTCGTATCGGTGCCAGTTTCACGCGCTGGCAAACGCTGGAGATTGCCGAGTACCTCAGATCTCGTGGTGTCTTCTCTCATGATGAAAAGAAAAT